TCTCAGCCCTCTACCTGCCTCCTCTGAGGCTGCTCTCGACCTCTGCCCAAAGCCAGAATCCATGATGACAAGACAGAGCCACTGTCAGAATAAGATCCAAAGTCCTCAAACATGGCCCTCGAGGTCTGATGTGACCTGACCCCATGCTCTCTTGCCAGCCTCACCCCTCCTCTCCTCCTCCACCCCTCTCCCCATCAGCCACTGGCCTCTGTGCTGTTTTCCATTTACCAAGCACGTTTGTACCTCAGGGCCTTTGCACCTGCTGTTACCGCCTCCGAACAGCTCTTACCCCAGGTCTTTGCACAGCTTACGTCTTCACTTCATTCCATGCCTTGATCAGATTGTACTGCCTTAGGGGCTCTCCCTGTCTACCACCTAAAGTAGCAGCCCTATCTCCTGATCTCTGCCCACCCCTCCTGACCTGCTTTCCCTGCTCTGTTTTCTCCATTTTTCTCTATCACCATCTGACCTACCATGCTTTTTTTTTTTTTTTTGGTAACAGCTTTATTGAGATAAAATTCATATACTGTATAGGTCACCAATTTAAAGTGTACAGTTCAGTGGGTTTTAGTATAGAGTTGTGCAACCATTACCACAATTTTAGAATATTTTCATCACCCCAGAAAGAACGCTTGTACCCATTAGCAGTCACTCTCAATTCCCTCCTAATCCCCTCTCACAACTCCAGGCTGCTGGCAAATACTAATCTACCTTCTATCTCTATGGATTTGCCTATTCTGGATATTTCATGTAAATGGAATCATGCAGTATATGATTTTTTGTGTCTGGCTTCTTTCACTTAGCACAGTGTTTTCAAGGTTTATCATCTGTGTTGTAGCATATGTCAGTACTTCATTTCTTTTTATTGCCAAGTAATATTATATGGATATACTACATTTTGTTTATCCATTCATAAGTTGGTAGACATTGAGTTGTTTTCCACTTTTTTTGCTATTATAAATAATGGCTATGTTTTTATTTTTCTTGGGTAGATACCTAGGAGTGGAATCGCTTGGTCATATAGTAACTCTATGTTTAATCTGTTAAGTAACTGCCAAACTGTTTTCCAAAGCAGCTACATCATTTTGCATTCCTACCAGCAGCGTATGAGGGTTCTAATTTCTCTACATCCTCACCAACACTTATTACCTCTTTTGATTGTAGCCGTACTAGTGGGTGTGAAGTGGTATCTCATTGTAGTTTTGATTTGCATTCCCTGGTGATTAATGATGTTGAACATCTTTTCATGTGCTTACTGGCTATTTATATATCTTCTCTGGAGAAATGTCTATTCAAGTCCTTTGCCCATTTTTTTTTTAATTGGGTTATTTGTCTTTTATCATTGAGTTGTAAGAGTTCTGTATACATTCTAGATATATAAGTCTCTTGTCATAGATGTGATTTGCAGATATTTTCATTCTGTGAATTGTCTTTTCACTTTCTTTATGGTGTCCTTTTAAGCACAAAAGTTTTTAATTTGATGAAGTTCAAATTTTTCTCTTGTCTTTGTGCTTTTGGTGTCCTTAGTAACTGTTGCCTAATCCAAGGTCACAAAGAATTATCCCTATGTTTTCTTACATTTAGGTCTGTGATCCATTTTGAGTTAATTTTTGTATATGGTATGAGGTAAGAATCCCACTTTATTCTTTTTCATGTGAATATCCAGTTGTCTCAGCACTATTTATTGAAAAGACTGTTCTTTCCCCCATGGAGTTACTTTAGCATTCTTCTTAAAAATCAGTTGACCATAAATGTGAGGGTTTATTTCTGGACTGTCAGTTCTGTTCCATTCTCTGTATCTATCCTTATGCCAGAATGATACTGCTTCAGTTATTGTAAGTTCACAGTAAGTTTTGAATCAAGAAGTGTGAATTTTTTAACTTTGCTCTTTTTTTCAAGATTGCTATGGCTATTCTAGTGCCTTGAATTTCCATATGAATTTTAGGATCAGTTTGTCAATTTCTGCAAAGAAAGAAGCCAGCTGGGATTCTGATAGAGATTACATTGAAACTGTATATCAATTTGGGAATATTGTTATCTTAACAATATTAAGTCTTCTCATTCATGAACATGGGATGTCTTTCCATTTATTTAAATCGTCTTTAATTTCTTTCAACATGGTTTATAGGTTTCAGTGTATAAATTTTGTACCACTTTTGTTAAATTCATCCCTACTTATTTTATCCTTTCTCATGCTATCATAAATGGAAGTGTTTTCTTAATTTCATTTTGGATTGTTCACTGCTAGTTTATAGAAATACAATTGCTATTTGTATATTAATCTTTTATCCTGCAAACAGGCTGAAGTCATTTATTAGTTCTATTATTTTTTTAGTGGATTTCTTAGGATTTTCTACATACAAGATCATGTCATCAGTGAATAAAGATAGTTTTACTTCTTCCTTTCCACTACCATGTATTTTTCTGCTTTGTTTGATCCTCATCTTTATCCTCCTACCAGAATGTAAGCTGCTCACTGCTGTGTTCCCAGTGCGTAGAACATGGCTGGGTACACAGATGTTGCTCAGTTTTTTGAATGAATGAGTGAAGCTTGCATGACTAAGGTCAGGTGACACCCCCTACCCCAGGGCTTCTACTCCTCTTGTGGCACCTGCTGCCCGAGAGTATCCACCCATACCTGCTGCCAGGTGAGTCAGGTACTCTTCCTTCCTCCCCCTTATCTCTGGTCCTGACCTTTTTTGCTCCTGCCCAGTCTTGGGGTTACAGGAATTTGCTGGAGTGCACCCTCCTAAAGAGGTTGGCGCATTCTGGTGACTGAGTCCCCCTATACCCCAGCATCTTTATCAGATGAAACATGTCTCACAGCAGCCTTTCTCACAAGGCCAGGCATTTTGTGGGGCTCAACTTCCCTGGGCGCTCTCAGGGCCCACGAGGGAGTCGGTGGCTTGCCCATTTTACAGATGAGAACAAAGAGAGGTCAAGCTCCAGAGTGAGTATGAAGGCTGTAAGCCCAGATCTGCCTGACCCAAGTCCCAGTGTCCCTCATGGCCCTTTCTGGTACACAAGATAAGCCTTGGTCCCATCCTTAAAACCTCGTGGAAACAGGAGAGGGTTGACAGGAGGGGGTTCCTCACAGAAGACTAGTCTTAGGGCTTTTATCAGCCAAGGAGACATTCCCCAATAGAATGGAGAGTACATCTGCCCCTCACTCATGCTGTTTCCTCTGCCTGGAACTGTCTTGACCTGGCAACTGCCCACTCTTCGTTTGGGTCTGAGCTTGAGTGTCCCCTCCCTGCAGCTATCACTGCCCTTGACTCAGCTCTTCCCCCTACCCTCTCCTGGTGACACTGAGTCTTCACTGGGGGTAATTGTAAAATGTTAGTCTGTGAATGAAGTGTACTGCAGTAGCCCATTGCCTAGCACATACCTGGCACTCATATAGATGAGTGGGAGTATGCATGGCAGGGCACTGCTGGCTCTGAACACCTATAGCTTCTGTGCCAGGCTCCGGGCTCTTTGAGGCCTGGGAACCAGGGCAGTGGCTGAGTGCTCAGGCTCTGATGTTGGAAAGTTCAGGGTTCAAATCCTGCTTTGTCACTTACTAGAGGTGTGATCTCTGGAGGGTGGCTTTCTGTTGGCGTGTCAGTGCCCTCAGCTGTAGAAGGAGGTGGAACAGAGCTACCTTACGAAGTTGCTGTGAGAAGCAAACAAGCCGATGTTCAGGAGATGCTTGGCTTGTGGCCCTCCACTCTCATTCCCTAGTCTGACAGTTAACCCATGCCCCTCAGGTCACTTAGGGTGTGGAGAGGTTATTTTCTCTGGAAACTAGAGATAATGTCTCTCATGCTACCCCTCTCTTCCCTGAGCATCGGTTCTGCCAGGCGGGTTGCGGGAGGCTGAGTGCTGTGCGCGGCATAGAGCCCATCTCTGCCGCGTGCTGCCACCACCCCCAGATCCTGCCAAGGCCCCCACAGAAGCTGGGAGAAGCTTGGACGAACTGCTCCCACTGGTTCCCACCCACTCCGAGGGCACGAAGCACCTCCCTGTTAAAGGGGTGCTGATTTATTCAGCTCGGTCATGCTCCCTAGCCCCAGGAGGAATGTTGGGGACTGAAAGGCCAGGCCCCCATTTAGTGTCAGGGAAGCCGAGAGCCCTGAATTGGTGTCTCAGCTCTGGTGTGGCACCTAGAGCCAGGCTGCTTGAGTTCAAATCCCTGTTCTGCCTCTCACCAGTGGTGTACCTTGGGGGAGAGTCTTAGCCCTCAGAGTTTCTGGTTTCCTTGAATGAGGAATCGAATTACGACAGTAGCTGCCCCTGGGAGTTGTTGGAAGGGTTCCGTGTGATCATGTATCTCTAGCAATTGGAGCAGTCATCAATGACTGCCAGCTTTTGTAAAATGCTTTGAACACTGTCCAGCATATGGTAAGCACCATATTAGTGTTAGCAGCTATTATTATTATTGCCATTGTTGTTATTACTGGTGAAGAAGGGGGCTCTGGAGTCAGGCAGAACTGGGCTGTTTGCTTAGCCTCAGTAGCCTAATCTATAAAGTGGGCTAACAGTAGTCCTTCCTGGGAAGACAGTTGGGAGGGACACAGTAGATGGCCCGCAGGAGCTTGGCTAGTAGGAGGTAATGGCAACAGTGAAGGAGTTGCCCAAGGCCGCAGAGCAAGGTGTTGGGGAAGGCAGCGCCCGGGCAAAGGAGGGTTCTGCTGACCAGGCCCAGAGTGCACAGACAGCTTGTTGGTTCTCTGAGGAAGGGGTCAGCTGCTCTCAGCATGACTTCACCCTTCCTTGTGTTTTTACACTTTAACAATTTCACTAGCACATTCTTATTGTGAAAATTAAGTCACTTTGTGATACAAAGTGAGACGTGAGAGCCCCCCTCCCCTTCACTCCCTCTGGCACTAGGCCCTTCACCCACCCCCCCATCCTCAGAGGTGAGCCCTGTCGCTGATGTGGGGTCCCTTTGGCAGCGTTGGACCTGCGTGCCCATGCACATGTATGCCTGTGCTCATGTGTCCCCGTCTGACCCACAGGGAGGAGGTGCAAGAGAACTGTGTGCGATGGCGGAAGAGGTTCACCTTCGTGTGTAAGATGAGTGCCAACCCGGCCACCGGCCTCTTGGACCCCTGCGTCTTCCGCGTGTCTGTGCGCAAGGTGAGGCTGGGGCTCATGGGCAGGGTGGGGGCTGCAGGCCTAGGGCCAGGGGACAGGGTTTGGGGCATTGATCTGGTGGCTTCAGGCCCATCCCCTGACTTGTCCTCCCCCAAGGGAAAACGGGATGGTCCCACACGGTTCCTTGGATTCCCTAGTCACCAACTGCTTATGTCTTCCCTCCCTGTGCAGGAGCTGAAAGGCGGGAAGGCTTATTCTAAGGTAAGCGGGGCTGTGAAGGGGTGGAATGATGGAATGCACTGGGGTGGGAGAGGACAGGCATGAGAGAAGCTCCTGGGAGAACTTCCAGCCCCCTCTCTTCCCCAAACAAGAGACACTCAGCCCTACGTGGAATGGATTGTTTTTTAGAAATGCCGTTATTGATAGTTTCACACTTAATATTAAGGCAGCATAGGTTTGTTGCAACACAAATAATGCAGAAGTTCATGTGGTGAAAAGGGACGGTTTCTACCACCCACCCCACCCCACTCCAGGCCTCCTCCCCAGACCTCACCACTGGGATTGGTTAGGATCTTTGCAGACCTTTTCAGGGGGAAAAAAATTATCGTGAAATATATCATACAGAACAGTGAATAATACATACATATGATTAGAGAAATATAAAATGATCACTCTATATATATATACTGGTACACATGGCAAACAATATGATTTTTCATGTACAAATGGGATTTGTTCTAAACTGATTCTGCAGCTTGGGCTTTTACCTACCCATACATCACGGGCATCTTTTCATGTCAGCACAGACAAATGTACTTTCTAACAGCGGCAGAGTATCACATTGTGTGGCTGGGTTGATTCAGCCAGTCCCCACTTGTTGGACATCTACGTTGTTGCCAGCTTTTCACTGCACCAACAGACAATTCATCCCTGCATCAAGAAGATGGCTCTGGAAGGTTCACCTCAGGCTCTACCCTAAGTCCTCCTCCATGGGGACTCTTGGCGCATTCTCTATAACTCCCAGGAAGATAGTCCAGCAGGAGGGTGGGCTTAGTCAGTTGGAAGGGGGAAATGCCTTCACCTCAACTCTCACCCTGCACGGAAGTCCTGAGGGTGGTGCTGCACAGGGCGTGGCCCTCCCACTAACCAGAGCTCAGGAAGCTCAGCGGGCTGTACCGTGCACTTTGCCCTGGCCATGAGTGCTGATGGCCCTCTCCAAAGCAGAGGACAGGGTGGCTAGAACCAGGCTGGGGATGGTGCTGTCAGAATGGAAATTTCTCCTCCTGTGGCCTCATGTGGGTGAGGACAGCCATCCAACTAGGAAAGAAACAATCAGCAAACAGCTGGAGCATCCCACCTCTACCCAGAAAACATGTATGGAGCACCTAGCACGTCAGCCACTGGCAGGCCCCTTCCCTTCCAGCATCTAAATTGAATCTTCACTGTAAGCTTTACTTTCTGTATAAGAAGAGAAAACAAGACCTAGAGAGGTGGTGGGACTTGGCACTGGTCAGGCCTGAGTTTACTCCTGGCTCTGTTGGTTAAAGCTGGTGGTCCTGAGCAAATCACTTCCCCTCCCTGAACCTTTGTTTCCTTTATCTGTAAAATGAGGGGCACTCTTAGTCAATGGGGAGGCCAGGATCTGAACCCAAGTCTTTGATTCTGGAGCTTATTCTCTTAAACCCTGCAGTAGAGATGCGAATGCAGCAGGTGTTCAGTAAATGTCCCTGGTTTGTTGGATTGTGCTCACCGCCCCCAAGCCTGGTACCCACTTACTTCATCCTCAGTTTTCCCTCCAGGTCTGAGCAGACTTGGCTTTAAGAGCACTTCTTTCTCCCACCCCGTCTTGGACTTAGCATCAGAAGAGCAGCCAGAGTACCCCTCCTTGGATCCCAGAGTTCCAAGGAGCCTGCCAGGCCTCAAGGGCCCGTCCAGACCTTGGACTCTGCCTGCCAGCCCCCTAACATCAGGCCTCTGCCAGGGGGACTTGTAGGCCAGAGCCTTCCCTGGGGTTTCCCACTTGTCCTGCAAAGTGCCCGTTCCTCTCCTCCCAAGCCCCTGAGGGAGGAGGGGTGTCCCATCACCCCACCCTGCTGCCAAGTTCCCACAGGCCTTCTCTCCTCCCCTGCTCACTCGTCTGGCAGCTCCCGACAGCACGGCCTTGTTTCCCAGGGAACAATGTGTCTGTGTCACAGACAACAATGTCCTTTCATCTCAGGCACACTGGCCCTGGTGCACTCTGGGATGCAGCACAAAGGGCGCTTTGTGCAGCTCAGGGATGTGAGCTCCTGGCTTTGCCACATTGGTGCAGTGCCGCCGACCCAGGCCTCTATTCTTGGGCCTTGGTTATGCAACAGTCAGGGCTCTGGGGTGGGCCCAGGGGCTTTGCCTGCCCCTCCCTCCTGTCCCTCCCCCATCTCTGCCAAGTTAACCTTTCTGGCTGGGTCTGCCAGCCCCGAGCCCACACTCCCTGAAACCTCCCACACGCTCCTTCCTCTTCTCCCAGCTGGGCTTTGCCGACTTGAACCTGGCTGAGTTTGCGGGCTCAGGCTCCACAGTACGCTGCTGCCTGCTGGAAGGATATGACACGAAGAACACCCGCCAGGACAACTCCATCCTCAAGGTACCCAGAGGCCCTCCTGCCTCTTCTGGCTCCTTCCCACCAAGGAGCAGGAGTGGGAGGTGGGCACAGAACCTGGCAGTGAGACCATGGGAAGACGCAGTGGGAAGATGTGGGCCCAGGGATCAGGAAACCACCATCAGAGGCCTGGCCACTGGGCTCAGTGTCCCCCATCCATAAATGAGGGTCAGTGTTGGACCCAGACAGTTGTCTTAATGGTTAGGTGAGCGCTTTCAATGAGATAAGCGTGCTGAATGCGTGCATCTCTTATCTCTCAAGATCCCCTGACAACAGTCTATGAGGTGTGGTGTCTATTATTAGTCCCAGTTTTGCACAGGAGGGAGTTGAGGCACAGAAGTTAAGTAATTCACCTGAGGTCACAAGTAGAGCTGGGACTTGATCCCCCAGCATTTGACTCCGCAGTCCAGCCCCTAACCACTGCCCCACATGACCTCGTTGAGGTGGCCTGAGCTGCCAGGTGGAGTATCAGTGAGTGGAAGAACCTGTGTGGACTGTGGGCGGCTGCCCTGAGGGCCCAGATGCCACCCGCCCTGGCCAGCCACGTGCGGGTTTCCAGTGGTGGGGGAGCTCCTTCGCCCCAGGCAGCTGCCTCTTTGGCCTCCTGGGAACAGAGCGGTCTGGGTTTCGCCATCAGCACTCCGCTCTTCTTCTATCTCCACACCCTTCCATCCGGCTGAGAAAACAAGTCTTGTCCTAACAACTTCACAGGGAGCTGGCCCAGTGGGAGCATGTTATGCCCAGAGCAGAGCTGGGCAGGGGGTGGTGGGCAGGGGCTCTGGACCTCCTGGACCCTTTTCAGAAGGAACCAGAGGTACCAGAGACCAAAGGTCGAGGCTGAATGTGGCGGGAGTCCAGCCTTTGAGCCTCACCGACAGTGGCCCCACGCGCTCTTGTCAAGCCATATCAGGAGGACCTGGTGGTCATATTGCCTTGGGTTCAAGGCCAGCTCCCCTACTTCCTAACTTCTTGGAGAGTGGCTTCCCTTCTCAACGTCTCAGTTCCCTCATCTGCAACCTGGGGCTATCACCTACTTTATAGGCTGCTCCCAGGGCCAAAATGAAATAGCCCATAAAAAGCCTCAGCCCAGTGGTCACCATTTTTGTCAGTGGGATCAGAGCACCTCTTCCCAACCCTGCCACCCTCTGCCTGTTGTTCTATCTCAGCCCAGACTTTGGGATCCAAACCTTGCCATGTTTGGGCCATCGTGAAAATCTTTGCACAGGCGGATGTTAAATTTCTAATGGCTTCATGCCTTACTTTTTATTCAACAAACTTTCACTAAGCCCCTTCCAACTGAGTTGGATTCTGAGAGCACCGCCTACTCTTGTCCCCCATGTTGGCTCAGGGGCCACTTCTTCCACCATGTGGAGCTTTATGAGCCCCCCACCTTCCCCCGTACTGTGAAGACTGCAGGCTGGGCACTGAGGACAGAGAGTGAGCATGCTCTTGCTCTCCTGTGTGCTGCGTGCCCTTGGGCTGCCCATTTCGCCTCTAGTCTTGGTGACCTCCTCTGTAAAGTGGGATTAGGAACAGTAACTGCTTCCTAGGTTGCTTTGGGTATTAACCAAGCAAATGCGTATGCCATTACTGGCATGTAGTAAGTACTTAGTAACGTGTATTTCCTGGCACCCTCAAGGAGCTCACAGTGTAGTCATAGTTTAAACTAAAACTAGCTAACTTGTGCTGCACACTCCCTCGGTGCCAGGCGCTGAGCCAGGCAAATGCACTACTTCATGAGGCAGGTGCTAGGCTCGTCTCCACCCTCCAGATGAGGAAACGGGTTCAGTGAAGTTAGGTGGCTTTGCCAGAGCCCCCCAGTCAGGAAGGGGCAGAGACAGGATTAAACTTCAGACCTTCTGAAGCCATGGAGGCTGCAGGGAGGCCATGGTACCTGGGCAGGGTGTGGGCAGGCGGGCTGACTGATTTCTCCCCCTTCCCCATAGGTCACCATTGGTATGTCCCTGCTCTCTGGAGACCCTTGCTTCAAGACGTGAGTGCCAGTGCAGGCTGTGAGAGGGGGTGGGAGCTCGGTCCTCGGCACTGGGTTGGGGGACGACAAGGACTCTTCCCTCCGCCAGGCTCTTGGGTTCTCCTGTTTTTGTCTGGCCCCAAGGGCGGGGCACCCCCATCATAACCCATCTGTCCTCCCAGGCCACCATCCACTGCCAAGTCCATCTCCATTCCGGGCCAGGATTCTTCCCTGCAGCTCACATGTAAGGGCGGTGGGACCAGCAGCAGCGGCAGCAGCAGCACCAACTCCCTCACAGGGTCCCGGCCCCCCAAGGCCCGGCCCACCATCCTCAGCTCAGGTACCATTCCCCATCTACCTTGCCCCTCCCTCCCAGCGACGGAAGGCTTTTATAACCACAGTGTCTCCAGGTCCCAAGGGAGACTTGTTGAGGAGAGGGAGGTGATGGAATGGGGTCTCCATTCACTCCTGTGTGCTAGGTGCTGCGGTTGGCCCCTGGATCACAGCAGTGACCTGCACCGACACTGACATGGTGTCCCTGCCCTCGTGGCCCTCCTAATCTAGCAGGACAGACAGACGTTAAATTATAAGTAAATCAAATACATATCCATTTAAAGCTGTGACGAGCTGTGAAAAGCAGGTACAGAAGGCGGGAGAGGCAGTGTCTGGGTGGCGTTTGGGCTGACATCTGGGGCGCAGTGTTCCTGGCAGAGAGAGGTGGTGTAGAACGCTCTCCCAAGTACTGTATGCCATTGGGCAGCCATTTCGCCTCTAGTCTCAGTGGCCTCCTGTAAAATGGGGATCAGTAATAGTGCACAGTGGTTTAAGCGTTTAGCTGCTAACCCAAAGGTCGGCACTTTGAATCCACCATCCGCTCCTTGGAAACCCTATGGGGCATCTACTCTGTCCTGTAGGGTTGCTATGAGTTGGAATCGACTTGACGGCACCAGATTTTAATAGTAACTACATCCTAGGTTGCTTTGGGGATTAACTAAGCAAGTGCAAATGCCATGCCTGCCACATAATAAACACTCAGTGTTTATTTCCTGGCACTGTATTTTCATTAAATTACCACTATTACTAATGTTGTGAAAAATGAGAGGGAGCCTGAATCCCCAGAGGAGCCGGTGTGGCAATTAGGAGGAGGTACTACCAGGAGAGGAGGCGCTAGCCTGCCCCCAAGCGTCTGCTGGGCCCCTCTATACCTAATGCTGTGCGGGGTGAGCAGGGCCCCCCGACAGGAACCTCGGCCCCCTGCCCCCCGACACCCGCTCTCCATTGGTGAGCTCAGAGCTGGGAGGTGGACCGGCCCCAAGCTGATGAGTGACCAAGGTGGTACATGGTGGCCCTGATTTGTGCCACAGAAGCAATTAGAGAGGGCACAGGGCTTAGGTGCACAGCAGATGTTTGCTGGGTGATTCTGCCCCCAGGGGTGGGGAGCCGTGAGGGACCCCCTCACCCTAAGGGGCCATCTTTCCTCCACTCCCACCTTTCCTGCAGACCCAGTCAGGATGGCAGAGGGCTAGGTCCAGAGCTGTCCGCCCCAGCCTGGGGGCTGAATGTAGGAATGGGGGCTTCTCAGTGCCAGTGTTCTCCAGCTTCAGGGTGGGGCCCGTAGAGGAGAGATCTGGGGACTGGCCACCCAGAACAGACGGTGCCTTTAGGAAAAGTAGAATAGGCGCCTCTTCTAGACAGGGTGGGATTTGAGCCCCCACTCTTCTCTGCAGCTGGTGCTCCCACCCCCCATGCAGAGGACCTGTTGGAAACTTGAAAAGCCACTTGGCTTTGGGTAGGGTCACAAACGGGCCGAGGGTCCGGCCCTTGGCCTGGGTGTGCTCGTCTCTGAAGAGGAGGTAGATGAGTCCTTCCTTCGTGTCCTGGGCTCGTGGCAGCCTCAGAGCCCTGGAGGGGTCTCAGCCAGGGGAAGCTGGGATGAGCAGCAGATGGTGGCTGTTGTCTGATTCCTGGTTCCCTTGTGCCTCCTGCTGGGGAGTGTCAAGAATGTTTGTTTTGAAGTTGGACTTATGGGTGACTTGGGACAAGGCTGTGTGCCCTGGATGACAGGCCCTTCAGGGCCAGTCCTCTTCCTTCTCCCAGCCCATTCCCTCACCCTTTTTTCTGTACTCCAGCTACACTCACCCAGCTTCATTCAAGCCTCAGGGCCTTTGTTTATGCTGTGCCCTCTGCCTGGAAGGCCCTTTCCCTGATGCTTTATCTGGCTCCCTCCCTCCCCTGCATCCTGAGAAGCCTTCCCTGACGCCCAGTACACATTCAGCTCCTAGTACCCCTGCTCTGTACCACTCACCTCAGTTGCGGTTAATTGCGGGTTGTTTTTTGTTCAACATTCCTCCTGTCTGCTGTACCCTCTGAGGTAATCAACCCTGTCTCCTGTTCACAGCACCCAGTAGAGCACCCTGCATGGAAGAGCTCCTCAACAGATATTTGTAGCATGAACAAACCTGGGTTCAAATGGCCAACTGTGGTTCGGGGCAGGTTTCTTCTCTCTGAACCTCAGTTTTTCAGTCTGTGAAATGGAAATATAGATGCTCCCCCGCAACCACCCACTGTAGGAGTTTCAATGAGAAGACTTGTGTGAAGAAGGGCCAGGGTGGGCACCACTGGGTAACCTCCTTCCGCTCCCCTCCCTGCCTTCAAGGGGTGCCAGAGGAGCCGGACCAGAACCTGTCCAGCCCCGAGGAGGTGTTCCACTCTGGCCATTCCCGCAACTCCAGCTACGCCAGCCAGCAGTCCAAGATCTCTGGTGAGTGTCCACCTGGCCCCAAGTCAGTGGCCTTCCATAGTCCTGAGAGCCCCCCAAATAATGAACCACCCCCCTTGACCACCCACCAGGCTACAGCATGGAGCACTCGCGCTCCTCTAGCCTGTCGGACCTGACTCACCGCCGCAACACGTCCACTAGCAGCAGCGCCTCTGGCGGCCTCAGCATGACTGTGGAGGGCCCTGAGGGCAGCGAGCGGGAGCACCGGCCCCCTGAGAAGCCGCCCCGGCCACCCCGGCCCCCACATCTGTCAGACCGCTCCTTTCGGTGAGCCCTATTGCTCAGTGCTTCCTGGAGAGAACAGTCCCCTCCGGTGAGGCCTGGCCGGAGCTGCAGCTTACCAGGCAGGGCTTGGTGTAAGGGCTGAGGAGCCCAAGAGGACTCAGCTGGGCATTTGACCTCCAGAAGCAGCATGATGCAGAGGGCTAGAAATCTCGGCTTCTAATGGCTCTCTGAGCCTCTGCTTCTTCATCAATAACATGGGGATAATCCTGTCACCATCTCAGAGGGTTGGATGCTGATGATTCTACCAGCTGATGTTCATAAAGGGCACAGCTCTGTGTCTGGCTTATAGCAAGTGCTCAGTTAATGGTTGTTGGCAGTTTAGTGTAGTGGTCAAGAGTATGATCTGTCAGGCCTGATAGAGTGGGTTGAGTCCACCATTTACACACTGTGTGACCTTGGGCAGGTTACCTCTCAGAGCCTCCATGTCCTCATCTGTAAAGTCATCACCGACATCCCTGGGTTGTTGTAAGGGCTAAATGAATACAACATGGAATGTGCTTAGAACATTCTAAGAGCTGTAGATGCAGTTGTTGTACTTGTTATTGCTCTGACTGTCGTGCCTCTGCTCTGCCCCAACCCAGGCGGAAGAAGGACTTGATGGAGAGCCACCCAACCTGGGTGGATGACACGCGAATCGACGCAGACGACATCGTGGAGAAGATCATGCAGAGCCAGGACTTCACAGATGGCAGCAACAGTGAGGGTGAGCTGGCTGCCCGTGCTGGGCAGGCTGGGGGCAGTGCTGCTTGCTCTAGGGGCTCCCCAGCTGCGCCTGCCAGAGCTCAGCCTCCATCCTCCCCCATGTCTCCACAGACAGCAACCTACGGCTGTTTGTGAGTCGTGATGGCTCCACCACACTGAGTGGCATCCAGCTGGCCAACAGGTAGGGGGTGAAAGTTGGGTAGGGGTGGTCATCAGGATAGCCTTGGGGTGTGGTGTAAGAGCAAAGTCTCTGCAGACCACCTGACCTGGCTTGAATGTCAGCTCTGTCACTGCAGTGTGACCTTGGGCAAGTCACTTCTCTTTGACTCTCAGTTTCCCCACGTGTCAAATGGTGTGGACAACACCCATCTCACCGGGAACCTGGGACAGAAAGCACACCACAGGGTTGACTGTGAGAGTTCCAAGGGTAATCGTTGGAAAGGGCTTGGCAAAGGGCTTGGCACACAGCTTGGCATACATGTTTATTTTGGACCCTATTTTTCCTCCCGGAATCCCTAAAAACATCATGATGATTTATTTATTTATTGGACAAATGTTTATTGAGCACCAGTTATATGCCAGGCACTGTGCGAGGTGCTGGGATATAGCAGTGAGCAGCCCACATCTCTGCCCACAGGATGCTCAAGATGAGGGGGTGGTAGGATCAAACTTTTCCTTCAACTCTACAGTTTATAGAGTGTTCTGTCACTATCATCCATTCATTTAAGAGCGTGTTTACCATGCACCTAGCTCACTAGGTCTTTAGCTTACCGAATAAATGAGTGAATGAATGAATGAATGGATATGGAAGTGAGTAGAGGAGCTTCCCACCTACAGAATTGTGCCAAAAACTTTCCTCCATGTTTCTGTTGGCCTGGTGGGAAAATCTAGGCCCAGAGGAGGCAAGAGACTTGACTGGGCAGCCCAGGGTTCCAGGACCTGCCCTCTGCTGCTGTTCTGCTGACCCCTGCTGGCCGAGGCTCGAAATTGCTGCTCCCATCTCCCAGCTGGCCTTCTGGGCTGCCCTAGGTGGGCTGGGCAACGAGAAAACAGGGGGCTTCCTTGGAGGTTTATGAACACCCCCACTGAAGATGAGGAAGCTGGAGTCCAGGAGAGGGATGAAACCAATCTGGTGGGCAGCAAGGTGATAGTGGAGCTGGATGCTGAACCCCAAGTGTCCATAACCCCGTGGATGGTCCTGGTCTCAGTGCGGACAAGAGCTGGCTAATTGTCAGGCCCCCTTACCTTCCACTGGCCTCTTGGCAAATCTCAGAACCCCTCTGAGCCTTAGTTTCTTCATCTGTCAAATGGGGTGATGATGCAGTCCCTACCTGACAGAGTTGCTGTGAGGATGGGGACAGCACACCCATGTATGTGAGCCACTGGTGCCTAGGAAGAGCTCAGGGACAGAGCCTGTGCCAGCTCTGTGGTCCCCTGGATGACCTGGCAGTTAGTCTTGACTCCGATACTTACAATCTGTGTCACCTTGAGCAAGTGACTTAACATCTTTGAGCCTTAGTTTCCCCCTCTGCAAAACAGTGTTGGTTAGCAGCGCCTGCTTGTAAAGCACCTGCGAGGGCCTGGCCCAGAGGAGTGCTGGGTTCATGGAGCAGTGAGGAGGCGGAGCTGACCTGTCTCTCCCCCACAGGGTCTCCTCTGGGGTCTACGAGCCAGTCGTGATCGAAAGCCATTGAGGAGCAGGTGTCCAGACTGGAGAAGGGCCCTGCCTTCGTGGACGTCCAGACTCATGTCGTTCCACGAAGGACCTTCCCCTTCAGATCCCCATCTGGGCTGCATCTCATCTGTGCCTCCTCCATGCACTCCAGCCCCACATGTCCCCAAAGCATCATTCCATGGTCCTCCCCTCCATGCTGGGACCCTCCTGACCCACTGGGGCCCAGGCACCACTGTGAATATTCTCCTCTGAACCACTAGAGGGCAGGACAAGCGGGCCCTTGCAGCAGGTAGCCAAGACAAAGAGCAGGACTGCCTCCACTGCAGACAGGGTCCCCTCGGCCAGGGACAGGCAGCAGCTCCTAAACACGAGGGGGCTGCTTGTGGTTGGGGGGCCTCTTCCCTGCATCTCCATTCACTCCAGGAACACTGGCTGCAGCCACTCTGGCAGGGCCTGGCTCCATTGCCTCCTTGCCCTTGTGGGCCCAGCCCATCCCCAGAATCCTGCCACCGTGACACTCTGACTGCTTAGTGCTTCAGCTATCCCTTCCTTGTATCCTGGGGGGCCCGCTGGCGGCCTCCTCCTGGGAGCCAAGACCTCAGATCCTCTCCACACTCTAGATTGAGACCTCTCCCTTCCCCCCCGCCCCATCGAATGTTCTCCTGCTGCCCTGGCAGTCTGCACTTTGCACATGCTTGTCCCAGCACAGCCCCACTGCCCCTTGCCACCCTTCCCCGGCCCTATACCAAGGATCCCTGGGCTCTGCCTGCTGTGCAGTCAGGCCCAGGCCTAGCAGCCCGGCTGGAACGTGGCACTGTCTCTCCTCCCTCCAGTTAGCCGCAGCTCAGGCCTGGGACCTGTGCTGAAAAAGGTCTGAATGTCAAAGCGTTTCCCCTCTGCCGGGGCTGGGTCCTGAGCAGCTGGGTTTCATGTAGGAAGGCCAGGGAAGGTGCCTTCCAAGGCCTGGGGGGTTGGGGGTCTGGCTAGGCTGGGCTTGGCAAGCAGAACCCCCTTTCTCTGCCTTTCAGGATCATCTGGCCCAGGCTGGGGCTGACGCTGGAGAGGTAGTGGGCTGTGGCTGGGCTGGCCCGGAGCTGGGTTCCTGGCCAGACAAGCACTCAACCCTCCTCTGAAAGCATCCCCCACTTCTGGGCCAGGCATAGGTGAAGTCCTTTAAGAGGAGTTGTTTCTCCAGTGGGGAGCAGTCTGGCCCTGCCCCCCGCTCCCCAAAGTCTCTGCTCTCAGCACTTTTCTCTCCCTGGTCCTCGTTACTTGCTTAAAGGTGGATTCTGGCTGCCAGCCAGTCCCTGGACCCCCACCGCACCCCTCTTTTAAATTCCATTCATTTTGTATAAACCCAGCAGGCTGGTGTTTAAGTTCTACAACTTTCTTTTCTTTTTATTTCTTCTTTTTCCCCTCTCTCTCTTTTTTCTTTTTTTTGACTTCACAGTTGGGTATCTTCTCCTCCCCCAGGTGAGGGGTAGGAGGTTCTGTGCTCTGCTCTGCCTGCTGGCTGGGTCCTAGCAGGGCTGGGCATGTAGATGTGGGGAGGGGGCGCAGGATGCTGGTTCTCTGGTATAGGTAGGTAGGGTTCCTCCCCAGGCTGGGAGGGTTCCTTACGCAGTTTCTCATCTGCCTCTGCTAGCAAGAGTTGGGGTTCTTGGTCTTGGAACCTGGCTGGCACTGGGACCAGAGCGTTTTTAGGTTTGGTTTTGTTTTTACTGTTTTTTTTTTTTTTTTTAATCACCTAAGTCTTTTTGTAGAAAATGAATGTTAGAAGGTGCGTGCTGGGGCAGAATGGAGCTCTGGTTAGCTCTGAGGGTCCCTTCCTGCCCCGCAGATGCCTGGCACTTTAAAAGGAAGCTGGTGGCACTATCTCCAAATGGGGTGACCCCCAGAAGGTGGGGAAGTGTCATCCTTCCCTTCTGTGTCTGTGACCTCAGCCCAGCGAGGGGGGGTGCATTCAGGATGTTTTTGGGTCTGGTCCAAAGTTCTGGGGCTTCAGGCACAAAACTGCTGGCTTTAGCACTCTTGGGGAGACTCCCCCAAACCAGGAACCCCAGCCCCGCCCAAGGCAAGGTCTAAGCTTAGCAGTCACCCCAGGAGGAGACAGAGCCAGCCATACTTTTCCAGCGCCAGGCCCTGGGCAGGAGAATTGGACTAGCTAAGAATTTGGCCACAACCAAATTAACACTGGCTGGAGCCAGAGGCCAAGAGCCCTGGCCTCGGCCCCACGTGGGAGCCCTTTCTTCAGCCCTCTGGCCCCCTCAAGCTCAGTGAATCCCGACCAGGTGCCCACAGTTCCTGGACTTCAAATTCTATATATAGAGACAGAGATATATTAGAGATATTTTTGGAAAGGAATTGGTCTATGCAATGCCAGTTTGGAATCTTCTTGGAAGACAGTTTAGCCTTTTTACAAGGAGATTTAAAGAAAATAAAGGTCTACAATATTTTTTAGGGTTTTTATTTTTGGTCACCCCACAAACTGACCACATGGTGTGATCTACCAGGATGGAAGATGTCCATGTTTTCTCCTTTTAGGGAGTTGAGCAGTGAAACAAGGGTTGGGGGGGAGCCTTTTTTTTTTTTTTTAATTCCTCTCCTTTCTAACAGAATGCTGCCACCTCCACCCCTGAATTCAGTGGACTGTGTTTGTATATCCGTCCCAGCTTCTATTGTAGAAAATAACATTTGAAGGGGAAATCAGTCTAGTGTCAGTGTCTTGGTCTGGGGGAAAAATAAATAAATATTGTGGTTTTTGTTTTGGTATGGCATGTTGTTTTTTATCTTGTTACTTTACCACATTGACTTTGGGGTCAAAGACAGCATCAGAAGGAAGCCCAGATGTGTGTGTGAGGTGATGCCCTGGGAGTGGGGAAGAAGTCAGCAGTCAGGGTTTGCCAAGTCTTGCCTACAGTCATAATTCTCACCACCTTTATTATTCCAAACCCTAGTGTGAAAGCTGAAGCCCAGAAGGGCCCTTACTTGCTAATCTCACACAGCTACTAATTGGCAGGTCCTGGATTTGAACTTGTTTCTGACTTCAGAGCCCAAGTTCTAACCATTGCTCTGTGCACCATCCCAGCAGTCAGGTGGCCTGCAATGGGTTTGGCTGAGGGCAAATAACTCAGTTTCCTCAGCTGCAAAATGGAGTTGTGTATTAAATGAGAAAGTGAGTATGCTGTGGGAGGTGCTGAGCATATTCCCAACCTCTCTATCCCCAGGCCAGAGTTGTCTCCACGCTTACCTGACTCTTTCCCCATTTACCTGACTCTAAAGTCACGCAGGAGCTGGGCAGCCTAGCCAAGCTCTGGGAAAGGTAGGTTGTCCTGGCCTTTAATGATCTCAGAAATGGTGGGAAGCCTGGTGGCTTTGGACAGGCAAGAAGGGACTATGTTCCCCAGTCTGGTCCCTATCCCTAGCCCAGCATTAGCCCCACCCCTTCTCGGGGCTGACCCTGACTCGTGGCCCCGTTAAGCCCTGAATGCTAATTCTTAGCCCTTTCCTCTGTGAGGCACACCCAGGGAGAACTTGGCTCCCAGCCGAGCCCCATCAGTCCTGAGATGGAAGGGATTGAGCTGTAGGCCAAGAAGGATTGTTCCTATCAGCCATTTTTTTTGGGGGGGGGGCGGGTGTTGGGCAGCCCTTATAGTCAGAGATGAGCTCACATGACTCGAGCGAGATAAATGCTGCTGGCAGGAGCAAACCATGCCAGACTCAGACTTGGCCACTTCCCCCTTGCAGGGGAGATGGCAGGCCCAGGGCCTCCACGTAACTCATCAGGGAGGCCTGGAGTGCCCAGATGTTGTACTCTGTATTATTCCAGGATCTAAAAAAAAATCACAGAATCTTAAAGCTAGTTGATTGATGAGTGCCAAGCCCCATTCTGGATACAGCAGTGACCACAGGCTTTACCCTCAGGGAGCTCATAGTGGGCCAGACCAACAAGTAAGTTAGCCGATTAAAACATGGTGACAGGAGGGAGCCTCTGCCTCCAGATGCCCAAGCGACTTCTTTTGGAGGATCCCCAGTGGGACCTAATGGATGAGGAGCTGCCAGCCCTGTGAGCTGTGGGGAGACTGTTCTAGACCCTGGAGCTAGCTGGAGATGTCAAAGATGATCTGGTCCAACCTCCCCTTGTACTTAGAAGAAAAGGCCTCCAATGTGTGTGGGGGGAGGGGTGGAGTGGGGGAGGGGGCAGGGCGGAGGGGGATGGTAGCCCTGCCCTCACCTGGCCAGTCGGGGAGACGTGCCTGGGCTGCTGCCACACTCTGGGCAGTTGGTGAAGGGAGGGAGGGACTCCTAGCCCCAGCCCTGCAGTGAAGAGGGACACCCCAAGGGTTGCGGGGAAGTAGGACCTATCCCTATGCTAGGCTCCCCTTCTCTGCCAGTCGAAATCTCCCACGTCCCTGCGGACTCAAGCCAGCCCCTCTTCCTCGCACCCCAGACCCAGCAGTGAACATTCTCTTGCCACCTGGAAACCCCAGGTTTTGCTCAGCAGGACTGGTCAGCCAATAGACAAAAGGCCGAGGTGGGAGATTAGAAAGGCAGCTTTATTTAGTTGCGCAAGGAACGGTAGGGCCGGTGCCTCTGAGGCTGTTCAAGGATAAGGTTTAGGGATGTCACTTATAGAGTTTACAAGCAGGGAGATCATGTGAACTACATCAGCAACGTTCTAAACCATGCCACGCAGGCGCAGTAGAGGTTACATACAACTTAATAGGATGTGTGTTTAGAAAATGGTTAAACTCCTCCTAGGGGTGGGAAAGTTAATATGTATGAGGCACTTAATAACCCAAAGTTAACTCTAGGTTTCTTGAACTAGTTTAAACCGGCTCTTCCCGCTTGAGCGTCCTGCCTGAAAGAGGAAATACAAGCTCTACGATGTTATCTCGCTTGGTTCATGGCCACACTTACTGCGGGACTTTTTCCAGTTATCAAAGGCTCCTGCCTTACTCTGCACCCCTTCCCCCAGCAGGCAAGTTAGGGACCGGGAAGCGACACCTGATTCTGGCCTCGGTTTCACCATTCCTCAAATTGCGACCTCCAGCGGGTCTCTGCCCCTTTCTGAGCCTCACTTTCGTCATCTGAAATATGGGACTCCCAACCCCCAACCCCATCCAGCTCTGATTTTGGGACTATTAAATATTTAGGAATAAGCTAGGTTTCTGGGGCGGGTGCGACAAGACTGACGCCACGAGGGCCTGGCAGTCTAGGTCCCCAACTCTGTCATATTTCCCTACGGGCCTCCGGTGAACAATCGTCCCCACAATGCCCTTGAGAAACTTCATTTCCCGACATGCAAAGGGGAGGCGGTGCCTGCCTGTCTTGGGTGACGTCGTCCTGGGCCAGCCTGAGGACTACGACTCCCGGCGTGCCCCGCGGGTCAAAGCAGAAAGGTCCCGGATCCGGATCCGGAAGTAGCTTGCTCCTCCGCTGTCGGAGCCTGGGGGTAATGGTGAGTTTGGGGCCAGGTGCGGGGTGTTTGGGGAATTTAGGCGCGGAGGCCGCTTCGGCTCAGGAGCTGGGTCTTCGGCACTCGGAACCGGGATTGCCTTCCCGCCGGCCCATTGTACGGATGAGAACACCGAGGCCCGGTACCCCTTGCCCAGCCTAGAAACTGACTCCGCTAGGTGGCCCTCAATACGTCTGTTCAATGAACGGAAAGTTTAGATCAGTCAGGCACGACGCTCCTGCCCCGGTCCCCCTACCCAGCTGTTCTCCCAGATGGAGAGTCAACTTCGTCAGCTGAGTCCTCCCTTTCCTCCAGGCCACGGGAACAGACCAGGTGGTGGGACTCGGCCTCGTCGCTGTTAGCCTGCTCATCTTCACCTACTACACCGTCTGGGTGATTCTCTTGGTACGTCTCCTCCGCCCTCTATTCACCTACCCGCATCCCTAACACCGACCCTAACAACGTTTAAGGAGCTACAGTGTGCCAGACACTGTGCCGTGTGTTTTACCTGCCTTACCTCACTTAATCTCCAGAAGAGCACTATGAGGAGGATGCTAGTGGTGTCCTCATTTTGTAGGTGAGGAAGCTGGGGCTCAGAGTAAAGGGTTTGGCCCAAGGTCGTATGCTTAACCACTACATTGTAAAGCCCTGTTCCTGAGTTACTTTGCCTTTGATGGGAATTGTAGTCGTTGTGTTTATCCTGCTAGCTTCTGGGCACGGCTAGTGCTAATGGATTTTGTGAAGCCTTTGGGATTTTTTTTGTTTATTCTTATGGGAAAATTTTTCAGTTATTGCTTAGGAAGTATAGTGTGTTTGGAAGGCAAAATCTTGCAGAACCTGATATTCTTCAGAGAAAAATACTAGCAAAGAAGACCTTGGAGCTCAGATTCAGAATCTCTCAGGATTCCTTATGTACTTCTTGCCACTGCTAGGCTGTAAGTGCCCTATGGCAGATCCCTTGTCTTCTCTTCACTGCCAGATCCCCAGCATCAACCCAGGGTGGGTGGCTTGGGTGGGCATTAGCCCACCAAACAAGTACCCAGTAAACAACCATTAAACAAATGAATGAAGGAAACAAACCAAGAAACCCAAATGCCATCATCTTAAAGAAAAGCAAATGCTATCCCTGTGCCCTGAATGGGGCTTAGGGAGCTAGGGAGCCTAGGCAAGGTGAATGATGCTCACCAGAGCTCTGCCCTTGGTGCCAGCCATTCATCGACAGCCAACATGTCATCCACAAGTATTTCCTGCCCAGAGCCTATGCTGTCGCCATCCCATTGGCCGTGGGCCTCCTGCTGCTCCTGTTTGTAGGTAAGTCATCACTCCCTCAACCCTGGGCAGGGCTGTTTTGGAGGGCCCGCCTGACCTTCTCTCGTTCCTGAAAATACTTCTACACTTTGGCATTTGCTGCAGATCTACTTGAAGCTTATTGTCCCCATGTCTTCCCCTGGGGTTTTTCTGTTTCCTTTTCAAGTATGGAAGTCAGTGGTGACCCCTCTGGTCTTCCCAATGCCTCAAGCTCGTAAGACTCTAATGCGATGTCTACCTTTTTCCTACCACCATCACCACTACCATTACTCTGGTCACACCTCAGTCACCTCTTACGCTCTTGTCACCCTGGTTTTTAATTCCTGCACCTCTCTGTCTCCCATGGTTTAGTGTTGTGGGCTTTCCAAGAGCTGAGACTATGTCTTAATAGTTACTTTGTCCACAGCATGTGACACGGGGTTTGCCAGCGAGTTGGGGCTCAAGAAAGTGGTTTGGATGAGTCAACAATTGAATGACTGGATGATGGGGTAGATGAGTGCATGGATGATGGATTTTGAGTGGGTGGGTGGGTATGTAGGTAGACAAGGGTTGATTGAATGAGTAAATGAATAGATGGGTGGGTCTTGTTCCCCATGGAATTTCAGACACCAAGTACAGCATCTTGCATATGGTTGACACTCCATTGGTGTTTGCTGAATGGATGTGAATGTGTGTAGCTTGATTAATGACTAAAAAGACGACCCGGTGGCTTGGAGAGTGGCAGGGTGGGTACATGGCCCTGCATGTGGGTCGCTCCACCATGCCATGCCCTGCTCTGGCCTTACAGCAACCCTGTACCCAGATCTTATCTAGCTTGTGTGGTCTGTATGTTCCAGGAGTGTTCATCACGTGCGTGATGTTGAAGAACCAGAAGGTGGCCAAGAAGGCTCAATGAAGACCCAGCAGGGGATAAGGCTGTCAGTCCCTTCTCTGCTTCCCTCCAGGGCAGGGACCAAGTGTGGGACTCAATAGGACTGGTCCATACACTGAAGCCCCTCAAGCCTGGCTGCCCTGCAGTCATGCCCATGGGATGGAGCTGTTCAGGACTCACCCCTGACCGACCAGAGCCCCTGCGCCTCCCCTGCTCACCCTTCCAGAAGTCAGGAGTGGGGGGTACCTAGAAGTCTCCTTCTCACCTACTCCTAGCCCAGGACCTGAAAGATGCTGGTCCTCTCCACCTCACCTTCAGACTCCCTGTCACCTTTTCTTCTGGGTTCTACCCTCTTGCTGCAGTTTCCCTCCTGTCACATGCTGATGTTGGACTTAGCAGGCTCTGAGGGAGCACATGATCTCTCCCCACCATGTCCTGCTCCCCCTACAAAGGCAGCTTTCTAGAGTCTGACACAGCCTCAGGCCCTATAAGGACTTTTGGATCTGGAAAGCCTAGGGGAAGGGCTGACAGACCCTGGGATCATTACCAGGCACCAGGGCACATTAGGGTGGCCACACTGGGCCCCCAGACTGACCCCTCTTCATGGAGGCACAGCCCCCGAGCCCCAGTGCTGGCCTGTTTGGGAGAGTTTAACAATAAATGTTGATCATGTGTTTGTCTCTGTGCCACTCTTGAACGGGGGAGCTGGGCAGATGGGGACTGGAGAGGAGCTCGGAGCTGGCCCTTGTGTTGGCCTCAGGTCAGAAGACCCTGGTTCATGCAATGAGGGTGCCTCCTCTGAACCAGCCCTGTGCTGACTGAACACAGGAAAGAGCAGGGACTGGGACAGATGTGGTTCCATCCTGGTGGAGGTCACACCTGGGGAATCGGTGCTGGGCAGTTGATATAAGTGCTTGGAGGAGGAGCTCAGGGCCTCTACCCACCAGATGGCCAGGTGGGGACTCTGGCATAGAAATCTGCCAGAGACCATATCAGCCTCCGCTGTACCTCCCTTTGACTGCTCAGCTAGCATAGACTAGCATTCCAGGGACCAATCCCCTAAAAGCCAAAGCCTAAGCCTGTCATGTATTGCCTGCACACAGCATGGCCCTGAGGAGCAAGGGGTGCTCAATGAGAACGGGGCTGGCTCCACTGTGTTTGGGTTGATCTGGCACAGGCCCCCTCAGCCCTGCCAGCAATCCCACCGTGCCCCCCTGGACAGCTGGCGCTCCCATCCTCCAGAGTGCCTAGAGCAGACATTCACCCTTCCTTCAGTTAGTGGAGGACTTGGTCTCCCTCACTGCTGAGAGAAGAGAGTCCAACTGCAGACACACTTTCCTTCACTTCACCTATTCCATCTTCCCTGTCCCCCAGTCCCAGACAGAGCTGCACACCTGGGCTTTGGGACCTATCCTGTCCCACTGCTGTAGCAGGAACCTCCTGTCACCAGGGATTCCCCACTCATGGGTACAACGTCTGCCTCTCAGCAGGATTCTCCCATTGTTTCATGATCATAACCCACTTAAGGGACCTTCTGTCAACCCAGTAATCCCCCCAAGTATCTTCCCCTTCACAAACTTCCCGAAAGGGTGTCCACATCTGCTGCTTGCATTTCCTCACCTCCCACTGCTGTCAGCATCCATCCCCATCACCCAGGAAGGCTGCACCCACTAATGCAAGTAGTGACATCCAGTCTTTAAATCCAAAGGGGCTTTCCTTGACTGCTCTGCCACGTTTGGGACATCCCTGTGATATCATCCCATCTACCCTCAAATGCCCTCTTGGTGTCTGTGATGCCTCGTTCTCTACTTTCTGCCTCTCTCGCTCCTTCCTGTCATTTCTGCCACGAGCCTGGGGGGTCCTCAGGGCTCAGTCGCAGACCTCACTCACGCCCCCTCGGTGACCTCGTCAGTGCCCAGGCTTGCTCTGCACATGCGCCCAGATGCTGACCTAACATCCTCATGGGATGTCTCCCTCAGTAGCACCTCACGTTCATCCTGTCATGAGCTGAATTCACAGACTTGCCCCCCAAATCTGTTTCTCCTGTCATGCCCTGCCCCATCTTGTGACCAGCATCATCCTGACCCTGGTTGATGCCTGGCAGACATCCCTGACCCTGCTTTCCCTCATCCACACGACCCCAAATCCTGTCAGTTCTCCCTGCCCTTTCCTCTATCCCCCTCCCCCTCCCAACAGCCACCTCCCTAGTGCAAAACTACCATCCTCTACCCTAAATCACTGATGGCTTCTTCACTGCTGTCCCCTGCTGTGCTGGTCTCCTCCAATCTGACTGCACGACAGCCAATGTGGCCTTTTAAAACCACATCTGAGCATGTTTCTCCACACTTAAAATGTGTTATGGATTGAATTGTGTCCCCCAAAAGAATAAGTGTTGTAAATCCTAACCTCTATGTCTGTGGTTATAATCCCATTTGGGAATGGGTTGTCTTTGTTATGTTAATGAGGCAGGATTGGTGTAGGGTGTATCTTGAGTCAATCTCTGAGATATAAAAGAAATTAAACAAGGGAGCCGGGCAGAGATGGGGGAAGAGAGATGACAAGCCACGTGAAGATTGCCCAGAAGCAGAAGCTCAGAAGAGACAAGGACCTTCCTCTAGAGCCAGCAGAGAAAGCCTTCCCCTAGAGCCAGCACCCTGAATTCGGACTTCTAGCCTCCTAAACTTTGAGATAATATATTTCTGTTTGTTAAAGCCACCCACTTGTGGTATTTCTGTTACAGCAGCACTAGATAACTAAGACATAATGTATCTCTGGGTTCCCATACCCCTCCTTACCAAACCTACAAGGAAGGCCCTGCATGCTCTCTCTTCCTTATTCCAGCCACACAGGACTTTCATTTCCTGGAACTCAACGTGGCCCTTTGCATGTCCTACTCATTCATTCATTCAGTGTATACTTATTAGTCACCAGTTTTGTGCCAGGCACTGAACCAGGAAACGAGACAGATGTGGTTCCCAGCCCTCATGGCCCTCACATTCTGGGGGAGAGATGTAATAAACAAATAAACAAGACAATCTCGGACAGTGTTAATGGTGATGAAAATAAAACAAGGTGATGTGATCAAGAGTGAGAGCTGGCCACCAGACTGAGTCCAGTACAACTCTATGGTGCCTAGCTACCACCACTGACTGCTCTGACCGGGATTACAACAGAGGGTCTTGGACAGAGCTGGAGAAGGATGTACAACAAAATTCTAACACACACAAAAAAAGACCAGATTTACTGGCCTGACAGAGACTGGAGAAACCCCGAGAGTATGGCCCCCGGACACCCTTTTAGCTCAGTGGTGAAGTTGCTTCCGAGGTTCACCGTTCAGCTGGGGATTGGACAGCCTCATGAAACAAAATGGGACTAATGAGGCACAGCAGTCCAGGGACAAGGACTAGAAGGCAGGAGGGGACAGGAAAGCTGATAATAGGGAACCCAAGGTTGAGAAGGGAAAGTGTTGACATGTATGGGTTCGTTAACCATTGTCATAAAACAATATGTGTACTAACTGTTTAATGAGAAACTATTCTGTAAACCTTTATCTAAAGTACAATTTTTTTTTTTTAAAAGTGAGAGCTGGCCTCATTCACTAATGGTGCAGCTGCCGTGGAAAACAGTTTGGCAGTTCCTCAAAAAGTTAAACAGAATTACCATACGACCCAGCAATCCCTAGGTATATACCTAAAAGAATTGAAAGCAGAAACCCAAACGAACAATGGCAAACAGATACTTATACACCAATGTTCATTGCAACATTATTCAATAGATAAATGATGGAAACAACCCAGGTGTCCTTCAGTAGATGAATGGATAAACAAAATGTGGTATATCCAGACAATGGAATATTATTCAGCCATAAAGAGAAAAGAAGTTCTGATACATGCTGTGACATGAGTGAACCTTGAAAACATTATTCTGAGCAAAATAAGTTAAGACAAAAAAGAACAAATACCGTATGACCCCATTTAGTGAAATACTTAGAATAGACAAATGCATAGAGGCAAAAGTTTATTAGTGGTTACCAGTGACTGAGGCGGGGGATGGGGAGTTATTACTTAAAGGGTACTAAGTTTCTGTTTAGGGGGATGAAAAACTTTTGAAAATGAATAGTGGTGTTGGTTGCACAGCATGGTGAATGTAATTTGTGGTTGTTGGCTGCCCTTGAGTTGACCCCCTACTCATGGCAACCCCATGTATTACAGAGTAGAACTGCTCCATAGGATTTTCTTAGCTGTAATCTTTATGGAAGCAGTTGGTCAGGACTTTAGTCGGGGTGGAGCCACTGGGTGGGTTTGAACCACCAACCTTTAGGTGAGCAACCGATGGCAAACAGCTTGCGGCACCCTGGCTCTTTGAATGAAATTTATGTCTCTAAACTGTTCACTTAAAAATGGTTGAAATGGCAAATGTTTTGTTATATATATTTTACTGCAATTAGAAAAAAGAGTGAGGGTTCAGAGCTCTTTCTGAGGAGGTGACAAGAAGGAGTAAAAGTCTGAGGGAAAGGATTTCGAACAGAGAACAGCAAATGCAAAAGTACCGAAATGAGAAAGAGTTTGGTGTCTAACGAACACGGAGCTGGGTGTAGGGTGTAGGAAGTGTGGCGTGAAATTGGGCTGGAGAGTGGGCAGGGCCGCATCACGCAGGGCCTGGGACCGCAGCACGGGTTTGGATTTTGTTCCGGTGCGGTGCGTGGGAAGCCACTGCAGACTTTAAGCAGGAGAGTGACATCATTTGATTTATGCTTTTAATAAAAGATCACTCTGGCAGCTGTGTCCCTCCCTCTCCCTCACCACTGAATCCCCTCCGGGGCCTAGCACTGCCTCTGGTACATAGTGAGTGTCAAAAAATATGTGTTGGATGAATGCATGCCCCTGACTTCCTGTGTGATCTGGGCCACTTCTCTCTTTGAACCTTAGTTTCCTCACCCGAAAGTGAGTCGGTGGGGATTTCACGCCAGTGTGGGTGGCAGGAGTGGATTAAGGCTACTCTGCCTCCACCTGCAGCCCCGCAGACCAGAGCCCAGCACCCCGGAGAAGCCAGGGTCCTTCCTCCCTACCTCCAGAGGACCCTGGCCAACGCCCGGCGGCCCCGCCCGGCTCTGGACCGCGGTCGGAAGGATGCTGCAGCCTCGGGGGTGGGACCCGTAGGCTTTCATCGGCGCCTCCCGCGCGGATTGGGTGTAGCCGTGACCAACACCATGCGATTGGTCGGTCCAGAAACAGGGGCGGGGCTTGGTTCCTGCAGCAGGGCAGCGGGGGACGCGGTCAGAGCCCGGGAAGCTGCTGCGCGGGCGATGGCTGCGCCGAGCCCAGGGCCTGGTGAGGTAGGTGCGGACCCGAAAGAGAAAAGGGAAGGATGGGTTGGGGGGCAGGGGCCGTCCTACCCTACCCATAGCTGCGCGGACACTCCCTCTATCCGAGCCAAGGGGGGCCCTGCACTGGGTGAGGACTAGGACACGCCCCATTTTGGGCCGCAGGTATGAAGGGCGGGCTCTGACAGGTATCCCCCGTTAACTTCTTCAATTTCCTCATTGGGAAAATGGAGATGGTAATAAAAGCCCCTCCCTCATAGGGCTATTAGGAGGTCGAGCTCTCAGACAGTGCTGGGCACGTGGTGGGTGCCCACTACTACTAATGAGTCAGCTGGTATAAACTCAGCCTGGTGCTGACCCTCCGCTCGGAGCCTGGCACACACTAGCAACTCAGCATAGGTGAGTGGAATACATGACTGAATCAGCAGCATCCCAGCTCCTACTATTGAGGGTTCCTGTGCACAGAGCTCAAATTCAGCAGTAACAACTGTTATAATACCTGCGGTGAAGGAGTTGTTACAATCCCCATTTTACAGAAGAGAAAATGAGGCACAGAAAGGTTAAATGACTTACCTAAGGTCATACAGCTGGTGAGAGGCTGGTCAGTCTTGGGCAGGTGTGACTGCAGAACACATGCCCTACCTACTGACAATGATACTGATGGTAATCACCATCGATCTATTTTGGGTTCTGACTGCATGCCAGGCACTATGCAGCCCCTCGAACACCTTATCAGGTTGGTACCAGCATTATCCCTATTTTACAGCTGAGGAAACTGAGGCAGAGAGAAGTGAGGGGAAGGCTCATGAGTAGTGGAGGTGGGATTCAAACCTGGGCTGTCCAAAGCCTGGTCGTTGCTTCCTGTACCTCCTTCCGCCAGGTCCTGGTCTGCTCCCCAGAGGCTGGATGCAGAGCAACTGCTGCCTCAAGCTCCAGCCGCCGAGGGCTCCTCTGGCGCTTTCGAGACAAGCAGTCACGCCTGGGCCTGTTTGAAATTGGCCCAGGCCATGAGCTGCACGAGTTGACGTGCATGATGCAGGCAGGGCTGTGGGCTGCCACCCAGGTCGCCATGGACCACCCGCCCACGGTGAGTGAACAGTCTGTCCCATGCAACCCATAGCACTGACGGATGCTCTGTCCTGCTAGTACCACTGGGCTGGGGATCAGAGAGAGCTATCATGAAGAAGGGACAGAGCTAGGTACACGTTGTTGTTGTTAGGTGTCATCGAGTCGGTTTCGACTCACAGCAACTCTATGTACAACAGAACGAAACACTGCCCAGTCCTGCACCATCCTGTGTACATGTAGAGAGGGACATTCTGGGGTGCAAGCCGAGGCCCAGAAGCCAGAAAGCCCAGAGTGTGTTTGGACTTGTGAAGAAAATCCTGACCAGCTGGTTGCCATGTGACTCTAAGTGGGCCTCTGCCCCTCTCTGAGCCTCCTGTCTCCCTCTGATAATCGGGGTGGGGTTGTATACTTCCTGGTCTCTGAGGCCTTCCCAGCCCAACCAGGGTGTATGGCTCAGAAGCGACTCACCCCTACCCTGCCCGCTTCACCCCTCCTCCCTGGAGCTCAGGCTGGGGCCAGGCTGGCTCAGCAGAAAGGGTCACCCAAATGCAAGTTCAGCAGCTGAACAGGCCTGAGTGAGTGTGTGGGTTATCTATGTGCGTGCACAAGTACACAGCCTGACTACATACCTGGCACAGGGACCTGGAGATCCAGGGAGAATGTGGGGACCACAAGGAACCCTATAAACCTCATCACTTGCTGAAAAGCTTCCATGGCTCCCCATTACCCTTGGGATGGAATCCTGTCTCCTCAGCATAGCCTCAAGATCCTACTAGCTCAAGCCCAGGGGCCAACTGTCCAGCCTTGCTCACACTCCACCCCTCTCTTACTCTCTTCAGCCATTAGGGCTCTCCTCCCCTTCCTGGTGACCGCCAACACTGTTCCTACTGGCATGAGCACCCTGCCCCTTCTCTCCATCACCCTTGGGATTTCAGCTTAGAGGTCACCTCCCCGAGGAAGCCCTCTCTGACCCTACCCCTCCCAGGTGGGGTCAGGCAAGTCCCTTGCCTTCAGGGCCATCTCCTTGTACAGGGATGGCATCTGGCTTCACTTGGCCAACTTGTGTGTCTGGGAGTGTGTGCTGGGTGAGACACACCCAGGCCCTGGGAAGACCAGCAGCCTGTCTGCCCATCTCAGGCACCCCCAGAGCAGACCTATTTGCTGAAGGAATCAAACTGGAGGAAGGGGGTGAGGCCAGGTGCATGCTCGGCTGCTTCCTGTCTGGCCAGACGCTTGGAGATCCTGGGGCAGGTAGTTGGGGCCTGAGACTTGCCCCTCCATCCTTCCCTGCAGGGGCCCCCCAGCGAGGAGGATTTTTTGGAAGTCCTGACCCAGGTTCAGGAGGTAAGAAGCCCAAGACTCTTGGGTGGGAGTGGGCGTGTACCTGCCTTTCCTCTCTCTCCCTCAGTTTCCCAATCTGTGCAGAGGGAGTGATGGCTTGCCTTAGGGTCTTGCAGGAAGGGTGTGGCCACCCTGACCCTCCCAACCAGGGCTACCTGCACACACCTGGCCCTTGTGGGTGCTCTTGTGGTTGCTCTCCCTCCCCCACAGGGCTTCGAGCTGGACACCCTGGCGGGCCCGGCCTTCGCCAGGCTGCGACGCTCTCTCGGCCTGGCTGAGGAGGACTATCAGGCTGCTCTGGGCCCTGGCGTCCCCTACCTGCAGTTTCTCAGCACCTCCAAGAGCAAGGCCAGCTTCTTCCTGTCGTGAGCAGGCGGCAAGGGTGGGGGTGGGTAGGTGGCAGTTTTCTGAGGGGTGTGGGAAGACTCCTTGGGAAGAGAAACAGCGTCAAGGAGTCAGAGAGGGTCAGGGCCAGATGGAGGCCAGATGGGGACATGAGAGAGTGAGGGCGAAGGGTCAGGCAGGAGGGCGGTGGGAAGATAGATCCTCCCAACCTTTAGCAGGAAGACGGAAAGACAGGTGGGAGCAGGTGCCTGGTGGGGGCCGCTCCAGCTTGGCCTGGGCGGTGTCCCCTCCCTCCCGCCCCCCAGCCATGACCAGCGCTTTTTCCTGAAGACACAACGGCGCCAGGAAGTGCAGGCGCTGCTCGCCCACCTGCCCCGATACATGCAGCACCTGCAGCGGCACCCACACTCGCTGCTCGCACGGTTGCTAGGTACGGCCCGTCCGGGATCTGGGAACCCGGGACGCGGGGTAGGGGGTTAGGAGAGGGTGAAGAGGGGAGGTAGCCAGGCAGTGGGGCAGTTCCGGGGCTGAGAGGCTGGCGGAACCAGAGCCGGGACCCAGCATGGAGGAGGGTCCGCGGGGGACCGGGCTCGGTGAGGGCCGGGTCTTAGCAGACAGAGTACAGGGGGAGGGCGTGGTTGGTGCCTGTGGGCCAGTCCCGAAGGCGGGGCCCTTGGAGGCGGGACGTCTTTGGGTGGATGGGCGAGGTCTGGCGGCGGGGATAGGGGGCAGAACCAAGACCCTCACAGAGGGAGGTTTCCTGAAGGCTGCATCTGGAGGCCGGGCCCAAAGGGGCAGGCTCGGAATATGGCAGGATCTGTGGGCAGGCCAGGCCAGGAGGTGGGGCCCTGGAGGGCAAGACGCCCCTGGGGAGAAGTCCCGATTCCATTCCGACCCAGGCTTAGGGAGGGGCCTGGAGACTGGGTCTAGAAGGGCAGGCTTGGGATGGGACAGTTCTCAAGGAGGCGTGGCCTGGAGCGGGCACTGGGGCGGGGTGGACCAGGGGTTGTGGGATTTGGGACCCTTCACCTGGCTGTCTTTCCTTTTCCAGGAGTGCACAGCCTGCGAGTGGCCCAGGGGAAGAAGGTGGGTGAGGCCGAGGCGAGGGGCCGGGCCGGGGAGGGGGGCCGCTGGAGGAGGGTAAGATCCTGGCCTCCCTCACTCCCCACCCCGGCCCCCAGAAATACTTCATCATCATGCAGAGCGTCTTCTACCCGGCAGGCCGCATCTCCGAGAGGTGAGTCTGGCGGAGAGCCGGCCTACACAGCACCGCCCCACCGGAATGTGCCACCTGAAGCACCCACACGCACTCGATAGACGACGAAACTGAGGCCCAGGGAGGGGAAGGGGCGTTCACACGGTCTCCTGGTGGATCAGACAAGCATGCCCACGACCAGCATTTCTTGAATGCTCAGTATGCTAGACGCTGTTTAGCCGTTTACATTCATTATCTCCTTTACTCCCGTAATAACTCTGAGCGAGATGTGTTGTGGTGGTGGTAGTGTGCCATCTAGTATAAGAAAGAGTAGAACTGCCCCATAGGGTTTCCAAGGCTGTAATCTTTATGGAAGCAGACTGTCACATCTTTCTCCTGTGGAGCGGCTGGGAGGTTGGAACCACCGACCTTGGGTTAGCAGCGGGGAGCTTAACCACTGCACCACCAGGGCTCCTCCCGTGCGTTGTTACCATCCCCATTTTATAGACGAGTAACTGAGGAAGAGGATAGCCACATAGCTAATAAGTGAGGGAGCAGGGATTTGAATCCAGCCTCTCTTGACTGCACATTGCCCGCTGTGCCTCCCAGCCCTGGCTCTGCCCACAGCTTCCCCATTAGTGCCTGCCCCCACCGCTGGCTTCCCTCAAGCCCCCTGATGGATCCCTTCTGTCTGGGACACCCGCAAGGATGACGGTGCTGAAAGGCAGGGGTAAAGCCTGGGCTGGGCTTCCAAAGCCTGTGTAAGGGATAAAGCCTGTGTTTAAATTTTTGTTCTGCCCCTTACTGTCTTGGGCAAGTCAGAGAAACCTTCTGAGCCTCAGTTTATTCATGTCTAACATGGGAACAATAATAGAAGGGGGTTGTGCTGAGGATTAGAGCCGATGTATATAATGGGTTTAGTGCATACATGAACAGTCACCCAATGGAAGCTCTTGTTTCTTATTATTACCTTGTGAGGTTTCCTGTGTGCCTCAAAGTCTGTGAAGCTGAATTCTGTCCTCCACACAGGTATGACATCAAGGGCTGCGAGGTGAGCCGCTGGGTGGAGCCAGCCCCCGAGGGCAGCTCTGTCGTCCTGGTGCTGAAGGACCTCAACTTCCAGGGCAAGACCATTGACCTGGGTGAGCCTTTAGAATGGTGTGCCTTGCTCTGCCCTCTGCCCTAGTGGTCAAGAGGCTAGATTCCAGAGTCAGAAAGATCAGGATTCAAATCCCAGCTCCACAACTTGCTAGCTAGGCGACTAAGGCAAATTATAGATGAATTTCTTCATCTGTGAAATGGGGGCAATAATGACACCTGCCCTCCTGGGGCAGGTAGATGTGAAGCCCTCAGCACTGTGCCTGGCACATAGTGGGCACTGAGGTGGGGGCATTGATGCTCTGGCAGGGCCCCAGCGGAGCTGGCTTCTCCGCCAGATGGAACTGGACACCACCTTCCTCCAGGAGCTCAACGTGCTGGATTACAGCCTCCTGATGGCCTTCCAGTGTCTCCATGAGGATGAGAGGGGCCCGGGAAGCAACCTCATCTTCCGCATGGCCAGGTGGGCCCCCCGCCCCGGGGCAGAGGCAAGAGTGAGGTGATGAGATCATGGAAAGGACAACTGGTGAGGTGGGGGAGTACCTCCCCTGTGTGGGGAACAGCACAAGCAAAGATTTGAAGACAGGAAAATACGGAGCACTTGTGTGTACATGTGTGTCCACGTGAATGTGTGAATGTGTGTATGTGTACAATGTTGGGCTGGAAAAGACTGGCCGTTGAGGACAGTGGGCATGGGTGGGCCACAGCAGGAGACAGGACCAGAGAGGTTCAGTGGACAAGGATTTTGGTGCTGATTTGAAGAATCTGCCCATTTTCCAGCAGGGAATGAGGAGGCACTGGACGTTTTAGAACTTTAGAAAGATCCCGTGTCCCTTAACACAGTCATGTCACTTTTTGGACCCTGAGATGAGGACCCCGAGGTCATTGCCATGTTGTCCTTATCTTTGTAGTAGTAGCTCTCCGTCTCTACGTGCTGACCACAAGCCTCATTGAGAGGGTGGGCCCATTCTCATTTTAGAGATGCGAAAACTGAGACTCAGAGAGAGGAAGTAAGTTGCTTGTGTTAGCACTAATGTTAGTATGTTATTTGGATTTCAGTTCTCCAAGGTCCACCCTCGTGGTTAAACAGAATTACACAGGGGTTAAGGGCCACGATGGCGGAGTAGCCAGATGCTTCTGGTGTTCCTTCTTACAACAAAGACCTGAAAAAACAAGTGGATCGATTATATAAGACAATCTAGGAGCCCTGAACATCAAAGGCAAAGCTGAGGAACCAGACTGAGTTGCAGGGGGGAGGGAGAGACGGTTTGGAAGCAACAAGAATTACACAAGGGTTGAGACAGACACTTTTAGGAAAAGAATCCCATTTATCAGGTGGGTGGACAAGAGAAGTGAAAGATGAGGTGCACTCACCCCAGCCCTCCATCCTCCTCCTCCACCCCCCACCCCCGCCCTGGGGAAAACCTTGGGATGGGTGAGGCTAGGTAGAATCTAGAGTAATGGCTCCCCCCACACAGCCTAGAGCTGGGCACTTTCTGGTAGGCTGCTAGAATGTCAATCACAGGGGGCAGAACCAAGTCTGCCCATTAAGTCAGCTTCTCCCCTGCCCTCTACCCCCAGGCTGGTGCTTAGGTCAGAGTCGTCATTTGGCCAGTACGCATGATTTACACATGGTAGTTGTTAATATATTGAAACATATTGGTAAATAGCCACTGCCCCGGCCCCACCCCCACCGCAGTTCCCAGCCCGTTGCTCAGAACCAACTCTGCCCTTTATCAGCTGGCAGCTAGCCGGTTAACACCTGCAGGGCAGAGTACCAGGGCCCTGCCCCTGCTCTCAGGCCCTCAGACCCCTGGGTTCTCATTGGTTGGTGCTTGGGAGGGTTTGTCTCTCACTGGCCTATTTTTCCCCGAGACCTGGGTAAAAGACCTTGCCTTCAAGTCGATTCCAACTCCTGGTGACCCCATGTGTTTCAGAATAGAACTGCACTCCACAGGATTTTCAATAGCTGTAATCTTACAAAAAAAAAAAAAAAAGTATCTTGGTGGTGTGAACAGTTTGCGCTAGACTGCTTACCTAAAGGTTGTAGTTTGAAACCACCCAGCAGTGCTGCAGAAGAAAGGCCCGGCAGTCTGCTTCCATAAAGATTACTGCCAAGAAAATTCTGCGAAGCAATTCTACTTTGTAACACATGGGGTCGCAATGAGTTGGAATAGACTCAACAGCAATGGATTATTCTTAAGGAAGTAGATTGCCAGGCAATTCTTCTGCAGCACTGCTGGGTGAACTTGAACCTTCAACCTTTTGTTTAGTAATCAAGTGCAACCCATTTGCACCACCCAAGTAGAGCAGAAATAAAGCCCCTCAGCCCTCGCCACTAGAGGACAAGTTAGGGAATCTAACCTGCTTCTCGCTGGGCCTGGAGGTCCCACCAAAGGCATCTTCTGTTTTGGGATATATTTTGAGGTGAAAAGACATGAAACATCTACAAACTGGGGTTGGACTTCGTTAATAAGGCTTCAGCTCTGCTATGGTGAGGGTTGGATGATCCCAAACAGAAGTTTAGGAAATACCCAAATAAGGGACTTACCCAAAGTCACCTGGCACATACGTGCAGACCAGGCTCTCTATGACCCAAATGGTCTAGCTCAACTCTACCCAATAGAATATAATGTGAGCCACAGATATAATTTTACATTTTCTAGTAGCTTTACTTTCTAAAAGATAAAATTAATTTTAATAATATATTTTATTTAACCCAATATACCCAAAATTTTATCATTTCAACATGTAATCAATATAAAAATTTATGAGATATTCTACATTCTTTTTTTCATATTGTCTTTGAAATTTGGGCCGTGTTTACGCTTACAGTACATCCCAACTGGGACTCGCCACACTTCAGGTGCTCAATGGCAGCATGTGGCTAGTGGCACGAATTTCCACTGCGCAGCTCTAGACCACTAGCCTCCCATATCTGGTGTGTGAATGAGTGACTGAAGAGCAGGGTCCGCACAGAGCGCCGCCCAGAGGCAGCCTGGCCAGGCTTACAGGGCTGATTGGTTGAGGCCCCCTGGAGGAAGCCGCAGCTTCACCCTCCGGTCTGCCCCCAGGTCTGTCCAGGGGACACCGAGCCAGGAGGAGCTGGGAGCCCAGAATCGCCGGCTGCTGCCTGACACCCCCAACGCCCTACACATACTAGACGGGTCTGAGCAACGCTATTTCCTGGGCCTCGTGGACCTTGCCACGGTCTACGGGCTCCGCAAGCGGCTGGAGCACCTGTGGAAGACGCTGCGCTATCCAGGCCGGACCTTCTCCACTGTCAGCCCGGCTCGCTACGCCCGTCGCCTCTGCCAGTGGGTGGAGGCGCACACTGAGTGACCAGAGCCCGGCCACACTCTCCCTGTCTGGACAATGGGAGCACGGCAGGAGCGCTGGTTCCAGCCTGGACGAGAGGCGGGGCGGGCTCCCCTTGCCTGTTGTCCCTCCCTCCTGATGGCCACCAGAGAGCAGCATCCCCTAACTAATACTATAACAACACCTCTCCATTTGATGGTGATGCTGTGCCAGGCATTGTGCCATGAACTCCACTACATTAGCTCATTTAATCCTCAAAAAATGCTATTACTATTCTCTTTTTACAGACCATGAAATGGAGGCTTAGGGGGTGAAGGAATTGAGCAAGATCATTCAGCAATAATGCTGGAGCCAGGACTCGAACCCAGCCAGGCCTTTTGAATTCAGCAGCCTGTATTCTTAACCACCAGCTCCCCAAACCCGTCCTCATGCTCTGGGGAACAGGGGAGGCCACAGGCTCCAAACTCCTTGTCCAGATGGGGAAACTGAGGCCCAGAGACTTTAAGGGGTTAACCCATGGGTAAGCAGCAAGCCAACCAAGAACCCAGGCCTCCTGCCCCCCTGCCCTAGCTCAATCCCCCCTCTTGGATGGCCCACCTCACTCCAGCTCTAGGGATGCAGCAGGGAGAAGATGGTGTAGTGGGGGGTGGAGAGAGTCTTGGGGTCTGGGGAGCATTCTGTTAGAGTCCACTTGGTCCTGAGTGAGTGCTACTGGTCTCACCCTCTGGTCTGCCCCAACTCTGTGCAGGGGACACTGAACCCAGAGGAGCTGAGAGCCTCACTTTTCTCATCTGTGAAATGGGGCAGGGGTTGGTGGTCAGGCCAAATGCCCTGGACAAACAGACATCACAGGGAGTAGAAGCATAAAGTGCCTGTGAAGGCGCTGATTACTCCTTCTCCCCTTCTCCAGGAAACTCCAGCCTGGTGTCTGACCCCATCCAGTCTGGCCACACCCAAGCGGGCTATTCCTCCAGAGCTGCTCTGGGGCCTGGCTGTGTGACCAGGGCAAGGTGCTAAACCTCTCTGTGCCTCAGTGTTCTAATCTGTAAAATGGAAAGGATGAAAACTGACCTCATTAACTCATTAAATAAATATTGAACATCTACCATGTGACAGGCCCTCTGCTGGGCAATGCGACATGAGGTTGAACAAGATGGACAAATTCCGCCTTCTCAGAACTCATTATCTGGGGTGACAGTGACGAAAACAACCTGGCATGACAATGCCTCATGGAGCTTTGATGGGTGGTGCTGGGGAAGGGGGCTCTCACCTGTAAACTGAGACCAGAAGAGTGCTGTTACCGCAATAATGCGGATTGGAGCTGCCTGCCGCAATAGCCACTTGTGAGACGGGGTGAGGTGAGCAGCAAGAGTTTTATTATATATCGATATATAGGAGACAGAGGGGAATAGATTCCTCCAAAAACCTGTCTTCCGCACTAGAGATTGGCTGAAGGCTTTATAGGGACAGGATTATGGGTCTTAGAAGTTAGTGTTAGTTCCCCCTTGACGTGGTCACATCCCAGATAAGTTAACCTTTTCTTGGGGGTTATCTGGCGACACCTGGTTTTCTTGTCCCAAGATGGGTGTTTTGTTCCATTTTTCATTCCTAGATCATTATCACTTGTTTTCTACCCTCCAAGGAGGAACATAAGTTAATGTTAAACTTTTTATAGAGACTGGAATGGGAGGGAAAAACAAGATCATGAGACAATGTGGGTGTTAGCAATGGGGACTAATAATAGTGAGTCAGACCTACGCAGCCTCTTCCAGTGAGACACATCCCTGGGAGGGTTCCATGTTGAGGGTAGAGCCAAGTCCTGGGGTAAGAGAGAGCCTGGCATTAGAGAGAAAGAAAGTATTTCACTGTGGCCAGTGTGCAGAGTGGGAGGGGACAGTGTGCTGTGGGTGGGGGCTGTGTGGCCTGACAGATGCCCCTTAGCCCAGGAGTGGACAACTCAGGAACTTGGGAAAGCCGCTCAGTTGTTCCAAGCACTGGCATGCCATTGGCCTTGAGTTATCCCTAAAGAAAAATGGCTGATGGGGAAGGGGGCGGAAAGGGAAGGCTTATGCTGCAGGCTGCTGGGATTTCGTATGGTCTGAGTGACCCTGGGCAATTACTCAACCTCTCTGAGCTGACACAAGCCACGGGAGAATTTCTTGTTCTGGCTCAGCAGGAAGTGGAAACACCAAGTGCGTTAAGCTCATTAGTCTGGGTAGTAGGTTCCATGGAAACTCAGTGGTGGCTGTGCCTTGAGGCGGGGACTTGGGTCTGGCCTCAGCTGTCCCTGTGGTCTGAATCGGACAAGCTGAGTCAGAGCCCCAGAGACCTGCTCTCATAGATGGGGATGACTCAGCCCCATCTCCCCCTTTGCCTCTATGGCACTGGGACCAGACAGAGCCTGAGGCTAGAGAGGGAAGTGACTTATCCAAGATCTCATGGGCCTAGGACTCCTGACTTTCCTAATTCTTTTATTCAACAGACATTACCTAGCACCTAGTGTGTGCCAGACACTGTGCAGGTATTGGAAATGCCCATGAGAACATGTCTGGTCTGTTTTTTCCCACGTGGAGCTTAGAGTCTTGTGGTGGGTGGATCATATACAAGGAAACCAGTTAATACACAGGGTAACAAATGCAATGAAGAAAATAAAATGGAGGATGCAGTGTTGGACAGGGTAGCTGGCAAGAGCCTCTTGGAGGAGATGATGTTTGAGCTGACAGCTGAATGACAAGAAGGAACAAGACATGTGACTAGAGCAGTCCAGGTAGAGGAAGCAGCAAGAGCAAAGGCCCTGAGGTGGGAATGAATTCAGTGTGCTTCAGAGGTCAGAAGGGTGGCCAGGATGGGTGGAAGGTGATGCAGAGGAAGGCAGGGGTCAGATTGTGCAGGGCTTTGTAGGCTGGAGTAAGAAGTGTGGGCTTTTTTTTTTTCGTATTTTAGGTGAAATTTTACACAACGAATTAGGTTTCCATTTAGCATTTTTATACAAATTGTTCCATGACATTGGTTACAATTTTCACAATGTGTCAGCATTCTCATTATTTCCATTTTGTTTGTTCTGTTTCCATTGATCTAGCTTCCCTTCCCCTCCTTGACATCTCATCTTTGCTTTTGGGAAAATGTTGCTCATTTGGTCTCATATAGTTGATTGTTTAAGGGAGCACATTACTCAGCAGTGATATTGTTTATTTTGTAAGTCAATCCTATTATTTGGATTGAAAGTTGATCTCCAGGAATGCCTTCAGTACCAAATTCAAAGGATATCTTAGGGCAATAGTCTTGGGGGTTCCTCTAGTCTCTATCAGTCCAGTAGGTCTGGCCTTTTTTAGGAATTTGAGTTTTGGTCTACATTTTTCTCCCATTCTATCCAGGGCTTTCTATTGTGTCTCTGGTCAGAATAGTCGGTAGTGGTAGCCAAGAACCATCTAGTTCTTCTGGTCTCAGTTTAGAAGAGGCTGTGATTCGTGTGAGCTATTAGTCCTGTGGACTAGTTCCTTCTCTGAGTCTTTGGTTTCCTTCATTCTCTTTTGCTCCAGACAAGTAGAGACCAATAGTTGTTGAAGTGTGGGCTTTTGCCAAAACCAGACTGAAGAGCTTTATCTGGGGCTGCAGTTCTTTCCAGTCTCAGTTCCACTGTGGATGTATGATCATCATCTGCTCTGGGAAGCCAGGCCGTTTGGGCATGCCCTTGCCTTTGAGTGACCCTAGCAAGGAGGGATTTTTTTCTCTGGGGAAAGAATTGTCACCTCACCAGCCATTGTGGGTGATGAATGAATCTGTTGTCCCCTTGGGGCTGAGTCTATAAGGAGAGAAATTTGAAGGATGAGGACTTGGAGGAGGCCAGAGGGACCCTGGCTTGCAGACTCACTGTGTGCCTTGCCTTGTGTGAGTGAAGAGTCACAGGAAGAGTGTGAGCTTGGAGCACTGCCTCTGAAGTGTGCCAGGCTGGGGCTAGGAGGACGTGGAAGGTTTGTGTTTAAAGGAGGCCTCAGGGGCAAGTTTGCTGCAGCAGGGCCCCTTCCCTGCTTGTGCAGTATGGGGAGAGGAATGCAGCCTAGACACCCGGCTAGAGGGTTTGGTTTTGGACCTGGAGCAAGGGAGCCATGGGAGGTTGCTGAGCCATGGACGGATGCTCTGGCATTGTGCCCATACCTGAGCCTCTGAGAAAAATGAAAATGGAGTTTCAAATGAAACCTGGTACAGATAGGGTGAGACTTGAATGGATGCAGGTTGGTTTCCCAGGCCAGGGCCCTGCAGAGGTAGGTAGGTGTGGAGGGGGTGGTTGGATGAGCTTGTCTGGTCCATACAACATTTTGTTAAAAAAGCTTTTAGGTGGGGCATGTGCTCTCCGCCTCACCACAGGATCCACCCCTCCCTATTGCCTGACATCTACCCTCTTCAATCCTTTCTGCCACCACCCTGGCCCCTGAAGGCTTGAGTTTGAGACCCCTGAGGGACCCTGTCTGAGCCTTCAAATAGGACACATTTCAGCATCTGCCAGGGCCCTGGTCTGGGTTGATGTGGATTTGGTGGACACTCTGGCAAAGGGACTTTGGGAGGTGGAAGTAGGTGATAAGAGCCCTGCCCAGAGTTTGAATTCTGACTGCTACAAGCTGCTCCTTCTATGAGGCAGATGCTGTTATCATCCTCACTTAAAAAAAAAAAAAATGTTGTCCTCCAGTCGATTCCTACTCATGGTGACCCTGTGTGTAACAGAGTAGTACTGCTCCATAGGGTTTCCTTGGCTGTAATCTTTACTGAAGCAGATCGCCAGGCGTTTCTTCTGCGACGCCACTGGGTGGGTTTGAACCACAAGCCTTTAGGTTAGTAGGCAAAGGCAAACCTTTTACACCACCCAGGGACCTTGCATAATGCCAAGCCACAGCTTAATTTCTCTACCCATCCCCCAATTTCTGACATGGAGAAACTCAAGTACTGATGGCTAGACAGCTACTGGGCCGTAGCTTCAACACCTTCCAACACTTTCCTCAGTGGTACCCCAGGGGGAAATAGGGGTGGGCCGAAAACGTGAAGTGAAGGTGCTGGAGCTCCCGGCTCCTGGCCCGCAGACCCCGCCTCCAGCCTGGAGGCCTAGCCGCTAGCCACGCACGTCCTGCTGCCGGCAGCGCAGACCAAGCTTGTAGTTGAACCCGCCTTCAGTCGCGCAGGCTCCGCCCCAGCCTCGCAGAGCCCGCCCCTGACCCCGGCAGCGCAGATTCAGTTTTCGGTCTCCAAACGCTGCGGCCGCCGCGCCGCCTCCGCCTTGGGGCTACGGCTTCCAGTCCTGCCCGCCCGGCCCACGGGCCATGGAGTTTAGAGCAGTGGATCGTCAGCAGCCGGCGCACCCCAACCTACTTGCCTGGTTAGCGCCTGGCCGGGGGAGGGAGCAGTGGAGACTGGGGGGAGGGGCGGGGGTTGGAAATCCCGCGTCCCGCCCCGCCCCAGGCCTCTCATTGCATCGCGCGTGTGGGGGCTAGGAGGGATGGGGTGGGAGTCCGGGGTCCTAGTTCCTGCTTTGTCTGCCCCAGACTTGATGGATGACCTTGAGCTGAGGGTTCCCTTTCTCTGCCTCTTCTTCCCCATCTACACAATTGGGGTTGGGTTGGCTAGAGGTATCCTAAAGGTCGCCGATTCCAGCGCCTTTAGGATGGTGGCGTTGCTGCCCACTGTTTGGGGGCTCTAAGGCATTTGATTCCCAGGCACCATCTGCCTTAGACTCTGGCCTCAACTCTCCTGCCTTAGTTTTCCTGAGAGGCTGGGACCTGGCCTGCCCTCCCCCGTCTGGGCTCTGAGTCTTTGGGTCTTGGCAGGTGCCCGGCTCCCACCTCTTCGCGTCCCGAGCCCTAAAGAAGGCAGCCCCTGGGTTGCTGAGCGGCAGCAGCAGCATGAAGGCTCCGGTAAGTGGCGGAAGAGCAGGGCTCACAGGGAACTTGGGGGTGCCTTCAGCAGCCTCAGGAGCCTCTGCCATCCCAGGACTGAATGTCCCTGATAGCTTTACATTCTTGGACAGATAAGGCTGGGCTGGCCTCACAGTCCAACCCTGCCCGGGCTGGCTGTGTGGCCCCAGGCAAGTGGTGTCCCCTCTTTGGCTTCAGTGCCCTACCCCCGTAAAATGGGGGTGATAGTACCCACCTCCTGTGTGCATTCCCCAGGTCACCCAGGTGAGGCGCCCCCAGGGAGCTGGATATGGTGTGAGAATTCAGTGATGGCAGCTGCGCCTGTCTTTACTCAGGAGCCCCTGGTCGAGGTGGGAGAAAGTCCTGGGTGTTGGGGGTGTAGTCAACCCTGACTGCCTGAGCCAAAGTTTCTGGGTTCCTCATGGGCAGGAGACCAGGTGCCAGGCAGGGCCTGAGTCCCCAGGGCCTGAACTCCCTCCCCTTGCACACCTGGCCACACAGAGGAGACTTATTTTTAGAAGCTGATGTGGCTTGTGGCAGAAAATGGTGGGCGTCTGGTAGGTGGTGCCTAGGATGTGGGTTGCTTTCCCACCTCTGATTTTCAAAGAGCACCAACCAGCTGCTAGGTGGTTTCTGAGGGGTTGCTCAAGGACCTGTACCTTGGGCAGTCTTGGGAGAAACATGGAGCCAGAGAGGCATAGGTGGTGACCAGGGTGTGCCAGAACATGACAGCCCACCCAGGGTCCTGTTCCCTACCAGTTGGCCCCTCCTTCTCACAGGGTTGGTGGAAGGCATTCCCTAAGTTGACCAACAGGGCCAGCCCCAGGCCAGGAAGGCTTCCTGGTTCAAACAGCCTTTGGCACATGGTTTCTGGAGGTGGGACCTCTGGGCAGCAGCTTTTCAATTATTGAAACCATCTCTTGAATGACACCTCTCCGGCATTTCTTCCGTCATCCTCCTTCCTCACCTGGACAGCTGACCCAGATCGGACAGCTGGCCCAGATCGTGATCATCAACTAAGTGGACAACACCGAGTTGGCTGGGAGGTGGGGTATGGGTGAGGGGGCCCATGCTGGGCAGCCTCAGGCTAGAGGCTGAAGGAGCTGCTAGCTCTTTGGACATGCTGCTCTCTTGACCTGATGTGCACTGCACTTTACAGTATACTGAGCACTTCAGCACTGTTGTGGATTGAATTGTGTCCCCCCAGAGTATGTGTTGTAAATCCTAACCTCTGTGCCTGTGGTTATAATCCCATTTGGGAACGGATTGTCTTTGTTATGTTAATGAACAGGATTAGTGTAAGGTATGTTTTGAGTCAATCTCTTGAGATATAAAAAGAGATTAAACACGGAAGAGAAAGAAGCAGAGATGGGGGAAGATTGATGCCAAGCCACATGGAGATCTCCAAGGAACTAGGAAACAAGCTGAAGAGACAAGGACCTTCCTCCAGAGCCAACAGAGAGAGAAAGCCTTCCGCTAGAGCTGGCACCCTAATTTGGACTTCTAGCCTCCTAAACTGTGAGGAAATAAATTTCTATTTGTTAAAGCCATGCATTTGTGGTATTTCTGTTATAGCAGCACTAGGTAACTAAGACAGAATTCGGTACTGGAGAGGGGGGTGCTGCTCTAACAAATACCTAAAATGTGGAAGTGTGTAATGGGTAGAGGCTGAAAGAGTTTTAAGGTGCCTAATAGTAAAAAGGAAACCCTGGTGGCATAGTGCTTAAGAGCTACAGCTGCTAATCAAAAGGTCGGCAGTTCGAATCCACCAGGCGCTCCTTAGAAACCCTATGAGGCAGTTCTGCTCTGTCCTATATGATCACTGTGAGTTGGAATCGACTTGACGGCAATGGGTTTTTCAGTGGGTTAATAGTAAAAAGCCTAGATTGCTTTGAAAAGACTGTTAGTAGAATTATGGATGTCAAAGGCAGTTCTGGTGAGGGCTCAGAAGGAAGTGAGGAAAGCCATAGAGAAAGTTTCTGTCGTCTTAGAGAATACATATGTTGTTGCTAGAAATGTGGACGTTAAATGTGCTTCTGGTGAGGCTTTAAAAGAAAATGATGAACATGTGATTGGACAGTGGAGGAAGGGTGATGTTTTTTATGCAGTGACAAAGAACTTGTCTGAATTATGGTCAAATGTTTGGTGGAAGGTAGAACTTGTAAGTGAATAACTTGAATATCTGGCTGATGAGATTTCTAAGCAAAATCCTAAAGGGGCTGCTTGGTTTCTCCTTGCTGCTTATAGTAAAACGCAAGAGGAAAGAAATGGCCTTAAAAATGAGCTGTGCATAATGAAAACAGGACTTAAAGATCTGGAAAATTCTGTTGTACAAACTAAGGACACAAGGGACATAGTTACACAATCTTTTTTTTTTTTTTAATTAGCATTTTATTGTGCTTTAGGTGAAAGTTTATATAGCAAATTAATTTTCTAATCAGTGATTCTTACACAGGTGTAGGGGGTGTGTTGAGTCAACCTCTTTTGAGATATAAAACAGATTAAATAAGCAAACCAAAGAAGCAGAAATGGGGAAGATTGATGCCAATCCACATGGATATCTCTAAGGAACCAGGAAACAATCTGAAGAGACAAGGGCTTCCTCCAGGGCTGACAGAGAGAGAAGGCTTTCCCCTGAATTCAGACCTCTGGCATCCTAAACTGTGAGAAAATAAATTTGTGTTAAAGCCATCCATTTGTGGTATTTCTGTTATAGCAACACTAGATTACTAAGACAACCACAATTTTCACAATAAGTCTGTACTGCGGTCATTATGCTCCCATTTAGTGGAGGAAGAAATAGGCCCAGAGAAGATGAGAGTCATACTCAGGGCTGCACAGCACACCCAGTGTTTGAGTTAAGAGCATGGGCTCTACAGCCTGGATTTGAGGCCCCATGCTGCCACTTCCTTGCTGTGTGGCCTAACCACACACCTCACCCCAGGTCTGTTTCTTATCCAGAATACAGGGATAATGATGGAGCTAATCTCCAGGGCCTCATGTGCCTAGAGCTTGGCAACCCAGAGTAAGGCCAGGTAAACAGAGGCCATGGATTCTGCTGATATCTAGGAGCTGCTGAGTTGGGGTCTGGACTCATGAGGCTGGGGTATAGTCCACTACTGAGGCTTCTAGGGTCCCTGGGGACCATCCCCCCATGACTGCTATCTCCCCCAGGGTCGGCTCCTGCTCATCATCCTGTGCTCCTTGGTCTTCTTGGCTGTCTACATCCTAATATGTGGCTGGGCCTGCCTGCCCCTCTGCCTGGCCACCTGCCTGGAACCCCACCTCCCCACCAGCTCCAGGCCCACCATGCTGGGACCCCTGCACTTCAGTGGATATAGCAGCGTGCCGGATGGGAAGGTGAGTCACATGAGGGGCAGGCCTGGCCAAGGGCATTCTTCCTCCCCCAACTCTGGGGGACTGTGAGAGCTGGGCTTGTGCCAGGCTCACCAGCTCTTTGACCTTGGCTGTCACGTCACCTCCCTGAGCCTCAAGTTCTTTAACAAATGTTGTGTGGTTACTCTGAGCAGGGGGCTGGGGATAAAAAGGGAGTCAGACAGCATGGCTGCCTGCTTGGAGCTCCCAGTCCAGTGGGGGAGACAGACAGTCATATCATGGTGTGATATGTGCGTTCTCCACATCTTTAGATTTATCTGTCGACACATAATCCATGCATTCAACAGGTATGTATGTGGCGCCTGTGATGTTTTGGGCCTTGTGCTACAAGCTGCTGGGGATAGAAAGATGACATAGATAAAAGCCACATTCAGCCCCAGAGTCCTCTGTCTCACGGGGAGATAGGGATGCTGGACCCAGGGGTGACAAGTCAGATACGGCCCTCGCCCCATGGCACCCACCTCTCCACGCTTGTTCTGCCCAATCTGGTGGGGAGCACTTTACCCCCTCATGCTGATTTCAGTGGCCCCACATAGTAGGTTTATCCAGTGAGCACCCTCAAAGGCATCCCATGTGGACACACAGTGCAGAAAGCTCCCACTCTTGAGTTGGGTGTCTCAGAGGGAGGTAGGCTCAGGGATCCTGGCTTGGAGGAGGCATATTTTGAGTCTTCATCCCTCTGTGTCTCAGTTGCCTCCTCATCTGTAAAAGACGGTCGTTGCAGTTCCTGCCTCTATAGAGCTGCTGTGAGGATCCAGCTGGGTAATTCTTACACAGTGTTCAGAGCAGGTGCTGTGTAAATCATGGATGAAGAAACAAATCAACACAAATGCCCACAGGATTGGTCAGGTGGGATGAACAGCCAGGTAGGCTGGGTGGACCCTGTCCCACCTACATGGGACAGTTGATGTTCATGTCAGACACTCGGAGCCTCGTGAGAACGAGGGCCTGGGGTGACCAGATCCTCTGTTTTTTTAAGAAAAGCTGGAAATCCAGGTTTTGAATGTCAGAACCAATTTTTATAGTTGACAACTAATTATACAATTTAAAGCCCTCATGGGGTACAAGCAGAAACCTCCTGGGGACTGGTGGTGACCCTCAATTGTCAGGACAGGCCGAAACTGAGGGCAGAATGAGAAAGTCTTGTTCTTTACTGCTGGGGTGTGGAAATGAGCCTGTGGTTGTTAGGTGCTGTTGAGTTGATTCCAACTCTTAGCAACCCTATATGACAGAGTAGAACTGCTCCATAGGATTTCATAGGCTGTAATCTTTATGGGAAGAGATTGCCAGGTCCTTTCTCCTGTGGAGCCTTCCAGTTAGCAGCCAAGTGCTTAACCATTGTGCGCCTGGGCCTACGTGTTCTTAAATCAACGTTATGTCAGATATGAAATTTCCCTGAGTAAGATGTGACGGTGTGTTTTTTATTAACTAGATTAATGTCCCCACATCCTTTATGGGGTCTCCTTAAACCCATATTCCCCCAGAAGGGCATGGAGACATGTGATGGGGGCAAGTCTTTCTCTGGGAACCCTGATCACTCACCCGCAGTGGATATTTGAGGCTCGCTCACTCAGCTTCTGCCTCTCGGGGGATAATGAGGGGGGAGGGGTGGTGGCCCTCACTGTGACCTAGGTCTGTGCTGATCACTCTTCCGACATTTTTTATTTAATCCTTACAACTTGGTCAAGGAGATGCTGCTTTCATCCCCATTTTACAGATGAGGGAATTGAGACTCAGAGAGGCAAAGTGACTTACCCCAGGCCATGCAGCTAGGAAGAGGCAAAGCCAAGATTCAAGCTCAGAACTAGAGATTTCCAGCCCTGTTGTGGGCACTGAAGACCCTGCTCTGCTCATAAACTGAGCACAGAGTGGGTGGGCTTGGGCCCGGGAAGTAGTGACCTATGGATGGTTCTGAAGAACTGAGGTTCATGTTTACTTAATAAATATTTGTATGACATCCAGTCTATGCCAGGCACCGTTCTAAGTGCTTTGCATGTGTTGACTCGTGTAACTTTCATCAGGAACCCGTGAAATGAGTACTGATAGGACCTCAGTGTCCACTCCGAGAGACAGCAACAGAGACAAGGGCAGGGAACCTGGCTGATACGGAAGCATAGGCTTTGAATATAGAATCTTAGCTTTATATCAGTGTGACCTTGGGAAAGTCACTTCACCTTCCCAGCCTCCATTTTCTTATTTGCAAAATGGTTTGACAGCAATACTTAGAGCTGATACAAGGATTCAGGGAGGTCAGTGGGTGTTACTGGGTGGAGGAGCAGGTGGGTGGAACCTGTGTGCCCATGCCTCTGTCTCTACCACCCCCTGCAGCCACTGGTCCGGGAACCATGCCGCAGCTGTGCTGTGGTGTCCAGTTCTGGCCAGATGCTGGGCTCGGGCCTGGGCACCAAGATCGACGGAGCCGAGTGCGTGCTGCGTATGAACCAGGCGCCCACAATGGGCTTCGAGGCAGACGTGGGCCGGCGCAGCACCCTGCGCGTGATCTCGCACACGAGCGTGCCGCTGCTGCTGCGCAATTACTCACACTACTTTCAGCAGGCCCGCGACACGCTGTATGTGGTGTGGGGCCAGGGCAGGCATATGGACCGGGCGCTCGGCGGCCGTACCTACCGCACGCTTCTGCATCTCACCCAAATGTACCCAGGCCTGCAGGTGTACACCTTCACCGAGCGCATGATGGCGTACTGTGACCAGCTCTTCCAGGACGAAACAGGCAAGAACCGGTGAGTCTGGGGCAGTTGGGGCCCAGCCTTCTCCAGGAGCTTCTTGTGTATCAAGGATCGGGGCCTGGGGGGACAGTAGTGATGGAGGCGGTGTGGTCCTGTCCTCTACTGGGGAGCAGGAGACAGAGCGACTGTCATTCATGGAGTTATCACACAGATGTTGAATCCCAAATGGCGGTGAGGGGCATTTGGCCTGTGAGCACATGATCAGGGGTGTCAGGGAACACTTCCCTCAGGAGGGGATGCTCTGAGATCTGACATCTCTTCCAGATTATGGAAGTAACACAAAATAGCAGCCTTCTTCATGCTCCAGGCACTAGGTTAAGCACTCTGCACTCAAGATTTCACTTCATTTCACATCCCAAAGAACACTCTTAATGCCCGTTGTCCCCCTCTTCCACACACCTGCTCCTCCCTCAGCCTCCCCAGCTTAGGAAATAGAACTGCCAGCTTTTCAGCCAAAAACTTGTGGGACTTTTCCTCTAACTCCCTTGTTCCATCACCTGCTACTGTAGTCATCCTACTGGCTCTTGAATCTCTCTCCATGCCTGTCTTAGTCATCTAGTGCTGCTCTAACAGAAATACCACAAATGGATGACTTTAACAAAGAGAAGTTTATTTTCTCACAGTCCAGTAGGCTACAAGTCCAAATTCAGGGTGTCAGCTCCAGGGGAAGGCTTCGTCTTCTCTGTTGGCTCTGGAGGAAGGTCTGTGTCATCGATTTTCCCTTGGTCTGGGAGCTTCTCTGTGCAGGAACCTCAGGTCCAAAGGACACGCTCTGCTCCTGGCACTGCTTTCTTGGTGGTATGAGGTTCCCATGTGTCTCTGCTCGCTTCCCTCTTTTATATCTCAAAAGAGATTGGCTTTAGACACTATCCAATCTTCTGGACGTCATCAGTATAACCTCATCATGGTGATAGAGTTTACAACACATAAGGAAATCACATCAGATTACACAATTATACAATACTGGGAATCATGACCTAGCCAAGTTGACAGATATTTTGGGGGGCACAATTCAATCCATGACAATGCCCCCTGCAGCAGTCCCCTCTCTGGTCTCCCTGCAGCCACTGTTGCCCCTGCAGTCTGAGCTCCTCCAGCTGCCCCAGTGAATTCCATCCCATCAGTTACCTGCCCTCAAACCTACAGCAGCTTCTCATCACATGGAGAGTAAAGTCTGGATTCACCACCCTTCTCCTCCCCGGCCCACAAGCCCTGCATGATCAGGCCCTCCCTGGTCCTGGGACCTTGTTTCTCCTTCGCTCACTCTGCTTCAGTCATATTGGCCATCTGGGCTTCCTCAGATAACCACACTTGTCCCCACCTGTGGGCCTCTGCACATGCCAGTCCCTCTATCTGGAATGTTCTTCCCCCACATTTTTCTGTGGCTGGTTCTTCTTGCCATTCAGGTCTGGATGAAATGTCACCTCATCAGAGAAGCACTCCCTGACCAGCCCATCTGAAGGATCTCCTCCTGCCCTGACATTTTTTAGCCCATTGCCATGTTATCTTGTCTTCCCAACAGTTGTCACCCTCTGACGTTGTCTTGCTAATATATTTGTCTCAACTGGCCCTGCACCAGGTGTGGCAGGTTCAGGGCCAGCAGAGGGCCTGGTTGGTGTCAAGTTATTTGAATGAATGAGCCACCCCATGAGTAGGACCTATAATTATCCCCATTTCACAGATGGGTCTCTGAGGCTCAGAGAGGTTAAAGGTTGACTGCACACACACTCCCCATTGTGTTCTGCTGCCTCCTACTGTCACCCCAAGCCTCATCCCTTTGATGTGGAGAGGATGTGGCCAGGGCCCCCACACCCATTGCCCTGGAGGTTCGCTCAAAGCATAGCTTGGTTTAAGCCCTGCTTGGGTGGGGAGGAGTTGAACAGTCCTTGGTTTGCTTGCAGCTTCTTCTCTTGCCTGCTGGTGGCCTCAGGCTGGCTCTGTCCCCTCCCAGGGTCCCTTCTGTAGAGGTCAAAGTGAATGACCCTGGGTTGTGAGCGAGCTGAGGCCAGGACCCTTGCTCCATGTTGTACAGGTGGCTGACAGTGTCCCCTCTCCTGCAGGAGGCAGTCAGGCTCCTTTCTCAGCACCGGCTGGTTCACCATGATCCTCGCCCTGGAGCTGTGCGAGGAGATCGTTGTCTATGGAATGGTCAGCGACAGCTACTGCAGGTCAGGCCGGCCAGGCCAGGAGCGGGAGAAGGGTGGTGAGGCTGTGTGGGCTTCATGGTGGGTGGCCAAGGTGTGGGTCATGGGGCGGTGGGAGAGAGCTCAGCCTCTGGAACAGGCTTGGATACCAATCCCAGCTCTGCTGTGTGTGGCCTTGGTCTGATCACGCCACCTCCTGAGCCTCAATTTCCTCATTCGTAAAATAGAGAAAAGAATAGCACCTTCCTCAGAAGGTTGTTGAAACATTTAACCAGTAACCAGTTGCCGTCAAGTTGATTCCGACTCCTGGCGACCCTAAGTATGTCAGAGTAGAACTGTGCTCCATAGGGTTTTCAATGGCTGATTTTTCAGAAGCAGATCGCCAGGCCTTTTTTCGGAGGTACCTCTGGATGGACTCAATCTGCAACCTTTCGGTTAGCAGCCAAGCACGTTAACTCTTTACAGCATACAGGGACTCCTTGAAACATTTATTAAACAATGAATAATCCACCAAAGTGCTTGACACAGCACCAGCACTGGGACCTATATATATATATCAGTTATAGATTACTTATGAGTTATTACTTTTAATATTTACTTTTATGTAATATTTATACTAAAACTATTAATATTTACTATTATTCTTTTAAATATCACTTAATATTATATTTCAGACTAGTTCAAATTATTATTTTGTCGTATTGTTATATTATTATAATTCAATATTTTTTGTGATTAACAAGTTCAGAAGAGATCCCACGTTTTCATGCTCTGTTCTCTCTGGAACTTGTTTGTTGAGCTGGTGGGTGTGATGGCAGGAGCTGTGTGCCCCTGCACAGCACTGGCTAGACTGCTGGCACGCATGGTCTGACGGGTAGGTGGGTGTGCAGGGCTGGCAGCTCCAGGCCGCCAGAGTGAGGGGCTCCCTCACCAGCAAGGTGCTTTGCAGTCCTCATCTTTTTGACTTATGCACTCACCCTGGAAGATGGCTATTACCATCCACATTTTACAGATGGACTATTGAGGCTCACAGGGAGTACATCTCCTGCCCAGAGTCATCCAGCTCGCAAGAGGTGGCGCCGGGGCTCGGACTCTGGCCTTTTGGATCTGTAGGCTGCTTGCTTCTCCCCTACCTGTCCTGGCCTCCCCCAGGCCCAGGCACTGGGTTCTGTGGGCCCAGAGTACCTGATGAGGGGTAGTCATGGTGGGGGACAGGGTCTGGGGAGAGGCAGGTGGGTTCTGGTGCCTGACTCCCTCAGCCCTGTTCCCACCCTGCAGAGAGGAGAGCCACCCCTCGGTGCCTTACCACTACTTTGAGAAGGGCCGGTTGGACGAGTGTCAGATGTACCTGGCGCACGAGCGGGCCCCCCGCAGCGCCCACCGCTTCATCACCGAGAAGGCCATCTTCTCCCGCTGGGCCAAGAAGAGGCCCATTGTGTTCGCCCACCCGTCCTGGTGGGCCCAGTAGCCCTGCTGGCCACCATGCCTTCGTCAGGCCTCTATTCCATTGAAGCCAACACACTCCACCAAAAACTTTTAATTTGTGGATCCTACCTCCTGCCAGATGCAGGGCAGACAGAGGGTCTCTTCCTGCCCCCTGCTGGGGACACTTGGAGCCATCTCCAGCTTCACGACTTTAGCGGGAGTTGAGGGGAGCCACGGCGGCCTTTCCACCCTCCTCCCCTCTCTGCCCCCTGCGGGATCCGAATCTTCATTTTGGGGTTCATCTCGCCCCCAGGTCTGTCAAGTGGCCTTTGCCCCTGGGGCTAATGGCCCCTACTCACCAGCATCATGACCTTCGACCTTGCACCAGCCCTGGTCCTTCCTCTCTGCCCCCACCCGCCTTTGGTGCCACACCTCACAGGCTGGTTGTCCTGCCTGCAGTACCCTGGTCAGGGCAGCCGAGAATTTGGAGTTCGTTGGGCAAATGGGCCTTTGAAATGTGACTGCCAGGGCCATCTCAGGAGTGTACGGGTAAATAATCTTCTAACACCTGCCTCTGTGTGGTCATGTGTCTGGGGGTGGGGGTTGAGGCTCCCCTCCCTGCCACAATCCCATAACCTGTTGACTTGAGGGCAGGCTGAGGCCTGTGGTCCCCTCCCCAGGCTGGTGGCCAGCTGGGCTTCTGGGCATTTTTTTTTTTTTTTTAATTTTAAAATAATTTATTTTATTATTGTTGAAAATATGCACCGCAGAACATATACCAGTTCAACAATTTATACACGTATAATTCACTGACACTGATTACATTCTTCAAGGTGTGCAACCATTTTCACCCTCCTTTTCCAAATTGTTACTTCTCCCATTAACATAAACTCACTGCCCCCTAAGGTCCCTATCTAATCTTTCGGGATGCTGTTGTCAATTTGATCCCATACAGATCTTTAAAAGAGCACGATGCTCAAGACAGACATTCTTTATTAATTAAGCTAAACTATTATTTGGTTTAAAAAAGACTTCAGAGGATATTTTTGGTTTAAGGTTTATAGATTATCTTAGGGCAATGGTTTCAAGGGTTTGTCTAGCCTCAAGGACTCCAGAAAGTCCGGATTCCCTGAGAATTTTAAATTCTTTTCCACATTTCCCCCCGCATTTGATCAGGATTCTTCTGTAGAGTCTTTGATCAAAATGTTCGGTAATGGCTTTTGGGCATTTTAATCCACCTCTAATGTCTTCCCAGAGAGCTTCCTGCTGGTGGCGCCCGGCCCTACCCTCTTCCCCCTGGGTCGGGGAGCCTTTTGGGGGTCTGGCCCCTTGGCTGCATGTGGCCCAGGAAACACTCAGATGCTTCTTTGGGCTCCCTACCCTGCCCCCAGGGGGAGGAAAGCCTGGTGCCTGAGACGAAACGTCTCAGGGTGGGAAGGAAATTTCCTCTATCCCATGCTGCCTCCCTGGTCCATGGGTCAAATTCCAAAGACTTTGCCAATAAATTTCTTGTTAACTCTGGGCTTGGTTCCTTGCAAGGAAGGAAGGCAGAGGACAGACCCAAGGGGGTGTTGTGAGGGGCTGACTGAGGCCAGGCAAGCAGGCAGCGATGGATGGCTGGGAGGCGGGGTCCTGGGCTTCAAACCTGTTTGTTCCGGTACGAACCCCTGTTGAGATTTGCTTTTCTAACAAGTTCTCAGGTGATGCTAATGCTGCTGGTTAGGGACCAATTCTGAGAACCACTAGCAAAGCCCAAGCCCTTGCTATGGAGTCAATTCCGACTCATAGCGACTCTATAGAGCAGAGAACTGCCTCACAAGGTTTCCAAGGAGCAGCTGGTGGATTTGAATTGCCGACCTTTTGGTTAGCAGCCAAGCTCTTAACCACTGTGCCACCAGGGCCCCACTAGTAGAGCAGTGGCTCTCAAAATTTGTTATACATAAGAATTACTTGGGGATCTTATTAAAGTGTAGATTCGGATTCGGTGTATCTAGGGTGGAAATGCAAATTCTGAGCAGGGGTTCAAACCAGAACAAACCAGTTCGAAGCCCTGCTCACGTCGGACTCCCAGCGCCCACCTCAGGTCGAGGGTTTCCTTCTGAGTTTCAGTTTCCTCGCCTGTGAAGTGGACAGACCTGCTAGCAGTTAGGGAGGGCACACAGCCACGCTGGGAAGGGGGACTGGCGTTAGCTGCATTTTATAGATGAGGTGAAACCACTAGGTGAAGTCAGCCATTGAGTGGCTGAGCCGGGAGCAATCCCAGGTCTGAGAGCAGAGCATAAATGCCTGGGTCCTGTGCCAAGGAGCCTGAAAGAGCTCACAAGGGCCAGGATAGTAACTGTTTACCCTCCCTCCATCCTTTCTTCCTTCCTCCCTCCCTTCTCTGCTTTCCTCTTTCCCTCCCTTCCTCCCTCTTCCTTCCTTCTTCTGAAGACCTGGAGACTAATGAAGGGATAGGACTGCAGGGCCTCAGGCTGTCAGCTGGGCTAGAGCCCTGGGGTTCTAGCTCCCAGTTCCAGGGGTCAGGCCCCTGTCATGGCTGTGTGAACTGTGTAGTTGCCTCCCACACTCAGGAGGGCCCCACATTAGTTTAATGCTCTGCTGTGGCCGACCTGAAATTCTTAATTTCTTTTTTTTTTTTTTTTTTTCGCTTGCCTTGGTCATGTTTTACTGACTTCCCTCATATTGTGTATTGCCTTTCCCGAAATTCTTAATTTCTTAACAAGGGCTTTGCATTTTCATTTTGCAGTAGGCGCTGCAAATTACATAGTGGTGCCAGGGGGCTCTGGGTGACTTAGCACACTCCTTTCCCTCCCCAGCCTACTAAGGAGAGGCTGGTGGCTTGGCACCTGGCCCACAGCACTGCCTTTTGTGCCCAGCCTCTCCCTACCCATGGCCAGGGGGCCCAGAAAGCTCTTCGGGTGTGGGAGGAGGAAGGAGAGCCCTGAGCTGAGGAGCAAGGAGCAGGCTGGCAGCCTAACCACATATGCTGGCCCAGCAGTATCGGCCAGGGCCTAGGAGCAGGTGGTGGGCAGAGATAAGGGTGAGATGCAACCTGGCAGCTGGGTGGAGGGTAGGCAGGGGAAACTTCCAGGCTCAGAAGGAACTCTCTGGAGTCAGACTTGGCCTCATTCTGGTAGTGCCCTTCTGTGTGCCTCAGTTTCCTCATCTATAAAAGGTTTTAAAATAGTCCGTACCTCTCGGAATTGTATGAATTCAGAGAGATGGCACATGTAAAGTGCCTGGCCCCAGGGCTTAGAACATAGTTGGCACTTGATATGTTGTTAGTTGCTGCCCGGTCATGGCAACCCCATGTACAACAGAAAGAAACGTTGTCTGCTCCTGTTCCATCTTCACTGTTGTTGGTATGCTTGAGTCCATTGTTGTGACCACCGTGTATTTTGAGTACCTTCCAGTCTAGGGGGCTTATCTTCCAGCTCTATATTGAACAATATTTTGTTGTGTTTTCATAGGCTAATTTTTGGAAGTAGGTCACCATGCCTTCCTTCCTAGTCTGTCTTAGTCTGTACGCTCCGCTGAAACCTGTCCATGATGAGTGCCCCTGCTGGTATTTGAAATACTGGTAGCTAGCTTCCAGCATCACAGCAACACACAAACCACCACAGTATGCCAAAATGACAGACAGGTGGCAGACTTGCTGTATATGGGATCACCCTCCACTGGCCCTACCTTGTCTGGTGACAGATGGGCAGGAAGATCTCCCACGCCTACATCAACTTCCTCCCTGGTTACAGCATCCAAAGCCCAGGGTCTGCTGTTCCTGTTAAGATTCAAGCTTAACCTCCTCCTTGGAGGTTGCCTCCTTTTCCACCTCCAAACCTGATGCCATCAAGTCGATTCCAACTTTTAGTGACCATATAGGACATGTTATCAGGAGGGACCAGTCCCTGGAGAAGGATATCATGCTTAATAAAGTAGAGGGTCAGCGAAAAAGAGGAAGATCCTCAACTAGATGGATTGACACAGTGACTGCAACAATGGGCTCAAGCATAACAATGATTGTGGAGATGGTGCAGGACCAGGCAGGGTTTCGTTCTCTTGTACATGGGCTCTCTATGAGCCAGAATCAACTTGATGGCACCTAACAACAACAACATCGGACAGAGTAGAACCACCCCATAAGGTTTCCAAGGAGCGTCTGGTGGATTTGAACTGCCAACCTTTTGGTTAGCAGCCGGGCTCTTAACCACTGTGCCACCTGGGCTCCTTTCCCTCTCCATCCCCTGGGAAATGCTGCCCCACCTTTAGGCCCACCACACAGAGGTGCCTCTGTCCTGGCCCTGCCCTAAGGTGGGGTTTATTGCTAGGTTGACCAAATATTGTCTTATTGGGGTTGTGACTCAGCTGGAGTGATCCTCCAGCTACTCCTTCAGACTGGCCCAGTGACTAGTTTGGGGCTTACAAAGGGCTCTCGCCACGAGCAAACTGAGGACCTGTCTCTTTTGCTGCTACTCGCCCAGCGGCTGCCGTAAGGTGAGTGGGTGCAGGAACCTCCTTGCCAGCCCTGAGGAGTTGGGGGGACACCTTGATGTGCAGCCCCTTTTTGGGCCTCTGTTTCCCCGTCCACACCCTGGCCTGCTGGGGACCCACCAGACTGCTTCCCGTCTGTGGGGACCAGAGGCCAGAGGGGAAGCCAGATAACCCTCTTAGCCTGGAGGTGCCTTACCATTGCCGTCAAGTTGATTCTGACTCAAAGCGATCCTATAGGACAGAGTAAAACTCCCCCTTAGGGTTTCCAAGGCTGAAATCTTTACAGAAGCAGACTGCCACATGTTTCTCCCATGGAGCAGCTGGTGGGTTCAAAATACCGACCTTTCAGTTAGTAGCCGACTGCTTTAACCATCGTGCCACCAGGGCTCCTTATTCAGAGGGGCCTTAAGCAAGGCTGGGAGCTAGTTATTCATGCTCAAACCTCATTACCAGGTGGGGAAAGGAATTTTAGGCCTTCTGGTTATGGTGGGCACTGGTGTCCTGTGTGGCCCGCAGGACCTATCTGGCTGGCCCAAGCAAGCATGGCTTGCT